GTGTCGCGCCCCGATCAAGAAGAAGATCATCGATGGTGTAACGCAAAAAAAAAAAAATCATCACCGGAAACAATAATATCCATGGTGAAACTACTCAAGGTCGACTTGGGTGCAACGTGATTAGAATATATACTATAATCCTTACCTGCGCACTCATTCGGTTTAAGCGAGTATCTATTTGACTATGACGGTGCTTTCTAATTGTGGACGCTCTCCGACGATTAACACAGTAAGTGCACACGTTTTCCAAGAAAATAGCCGATTCAGTGGTTTTATTATTTACAAATTATATCTTCATTATCTATATTATAATCGTTGTAAATTATCCCTATAGTAATATGAGAATATGATCGCTTCTTTCCACATAGTTTCATATCACATATCAATTACTTTATATACATTGGCCAACCTCGCATAAATTTAGTAACTCTTTGCAGATGATGAATATATTAATGTTAACATTTTTAAAAATATTGCATACTATTACTATTGCTTAAGAAGCGGTACCGTATAATAATATACAATATGTTGTCAATGGCCTAAATTCGGAAATGTGGTATTTTTTTTCGGACAAGATTAAAACAAATGTTATGAACAAACGATAACACCTGTTTGACAATTGTTAGTACGTAGTAAGTCGCCAGAATTGTAATTATTTGTAGACATTTAATTATGATAAATACAACTAAATGTAAATATTTGATTTGTATAACTCGTTTAGACCATATTTACACATGATTTAACGATTGTTTTAACATTCTCCAATTTATTAATTTCATCGATAAGACTAATTATATAGCTCAACCATCAGCCTATTTTCTCGGACGATGGCTCGTCAATTATAACTCCAAGTTCGTTTTCATTATCCTAAAATACCTGAATCCCAATAGTAAAATTAAAGCACACACCAAGGATTGGAGTGTTAAGAATATGTTTTTAGTTTCGATGTGGAGTTGAGAAGGATATGTTTTTACAATAATGTCTTTTTTTTCCTTTTGGATCCACGATATCTTCTAAGCCACTGAACCGATTTCTTCGTGTAGTAACTCTATAAATCATAAATCATGTCCAAAAGGTACTTTATTGGGCCATAAATTAAAAAAGTTTAGACTTTCCCCTTCAAAGTAGAGAAAACCACCCAAAAAATTTACCTACATACTTTTCAGCTTAAAATTAACGGCACTATAACTTTTTAAAAAATAGTCTAATTAGTTCCAAATTGATATGGTACATTCTTTAGACATAATACTACGGGTAAACGTCGACAAACCAAAAAATATCATAAATCCTTCTCCTAGAAGGGGTGGAAACTTTTTCTGTATTTCACTTTTTCCTGTTAACTTTAAGGGCTTAAGATCAGAAAATTAGACCGAAGGCAGATATAGAATGGGGCTATAACATGTACAATTTTCGCAAAAATCTGTAGTCAAACTTTTTTCATTATGGAAAAATAAAGGGAAATTACACTTCAGCCGTAGTAAATTTCTAGGCTGCTATGTGTGAGTGAATATGTCAGTCAATATGTAATTGAAAGTATTTTCATTATATTATTAATTACGATATATTGGTATCTATGGAAATAATCATTATAGTCAGGCGATCAACCTTAATTGGAATGGTTATCCCAAATACTAGAAACACATTTTTATACACATTATTGTCATGACAATGCTTTTTTTATCAACATTTGTTTTTTATCATTACAGATTCGCATCTAACCGTTTACTTCAAAGTGTTTTTATCACTTTTAGTTGTAAAACTCTTATAGACATGTAACCCCCCCCCAATGACGTTTAATTAGATCTTATCGTGCGCTTTATCTTTATATGTCATTACGTTGGACGAGTGTTCTGATGGTTTTTATTTACAGAAAATAACAAACTCTTTGTAGTTTTTGTCCAATAAACAGAGTATAAATGTTTATTCAGAGGCAGATTATGAAAAATATAAGTTTACTTCCCGGTGATAGTAGGAGCGGTAACTACAGTATTTTTTTTCTATCTTAAAAGTCACGATAAGAAATGGAAGCCGTTCGGTGGTTACCTTATGGGTTTTTCCGGGCACGTACACGTCATTTGAATATTGAGTTTTTTTATTTTCAAGGAAGGTCTGTTTAATACGTAGTTGAGTTTCTCTTAATCTAGTGGCCTGTCAAATTATGACCTTTTTTTAGAACCCGTACAATAATAACTTTCGATTTTTTTTATAAATATACGAAAATTGTTCCTCGAGTACAGAGAGCCGAAGAATCAGGTTTCAAGTTCGTACTACTATTTTTATCACATAGTAACGGTTACATATGTCATGTGGAAATCTCTACGCATTTAAGAATCCATCTGCAGAAGTGCTCCTTTTGTTCAATAAACATCTTACTTATTATGAAAAGGTTAAATCATAATACATTTTTTGTAAACATCAAACAATTATCGTTGTAAATAAATATCAAAATGATGAAAGGTGTAAGAAATTAAAAATAATTCAAGAACGTTCGTTCAAAGGTTTATGAGTCAATATATATTTTGTAGTTTCATACACAAATTTATTGATTGGTCCATTAAATTTTAATGAATTAGTTAATTTATTATACTTAGTACAACCTGCCGTTATACTTTTAATTACCATTTGTTGTCTTTTATGTTAAAATGTTATGCAAATAAATGTGGTGAGCCATTGCGCTAATTTAATTTTAATTAGGTATATTACGGAAACTTTCATCAATTTTAATACAGTTAGTATTTTAGAAATTATAATTTCAAATGATACGTTTTCCTGAAGTGATCGACATAATAACTAGATTATAAAATATGCGAAAGCGCGGTCGACAGGTTATACAGGGAAAGCCTGATGGTCATGACGTATATTTTTTAAGATGTATTATTTATTTGCCGGAAAAAACTGGCATACCTAACTTACCCTCGGCAACCGAAAACAAGCGTTACACCTTGATATGAAAAGTTTTGTACCAACGAAATGTATAATGTTTTTCTGCGAATTATTGTGTACCCTCGTTAGCCGTTTGTCTTATGCCAAATGTTATTAAACACATGATGGCGCTGCAGTTGGAATGGCAATTATTACTCCTATCGTTGCATCTGTATTACGCGTTTATCAGTGGTGTTATTATTATTGTTATTATGACCATTGTATTGAGTTTTTTCTCGACTCGCGGGCACGAGACGTTTATTATTGCCGTTATAACATACGGCGCGACTTTCACCTTCGAACATCAAACATGTGCGGTTTGACGTTTAGCGGCAAAACGGTACAACAACAATGCAAAAACAAAAATTATATGAAAATTATTTTCTCGTTCCAGCGGGTTTTTCGGAATAAATTTCAGTACTTAAACCGTTTTCTTTACATCACTGCGTTTGCGTACAAATTGAAGAACATTTATTATTGAATAAATAGTGCAATAGGTACTAATGATAGTACTATAGTTAATAGTTGAACGATACTAAAAAAAAACTGAACCACATATTTTTAACAGCGTCAAGAGCAGCCTGGCAGTTATTGGTCGAAGGCGTGTAATGCTGATTGATCATTGAAGGCCTGAACACCGGAGGGATTTTATAGGGTTAATAATCTGAATTATGATTCACACGGGACAGCTAAATTCAATTTTTTAGAACATAAACGTACAACTTAGATTTTAATTTGAACACCTGACTCACGTGCCGTATAAGAACATGAGTTACAAGAAAGAAAAATGTTGTTTGAAAGTCATGTTGCCTGTTAGGTTTAAATGTTTTCCAAAAAAAAACTATAAGAATAGATTGATTTTGATTTTTAGGAATTCATCAGATTTTAAGATTTGGGTTTAAAATCCACACCTTGGGACAGTCATACTAACCAGATCATTCTACCTTTACTATTGAATTGAAATGTCCATATTTAACTTTTCGATTTGTGTTTAAAATGTACAAATGTAAAACCTATATATTTTACCAGCTTTTGTTGAAATATGACCCAAATTGTTAGCACGAATGGTTGTAGGAAATTATGTGGATTGTTTCAATGATAAAAGTATGTATACACAACTTGAAAAATATTTGCTTTTGTTTTAAAGTCTCTTAGTATGATAGGTGTCTTGATGGCGTACCTCGTAGAAAACCGTATTTGGGTTCATGATGAAGAACATAAGCGTGCTTATTGTTTTGAGTAAAAGTAAAAAGTCTCTCCTTTTATGACTTGTAATAACCTATAATGAATGATCACTCCAAAGAGGGTGTGAAACCACGTGAACCCGAAAATGTATAAGCTTTTGTTCACCTCTGATGTCTCCAAATACATTGGTGTATTTGTATAGCTGTGTAGTAGCTGTATAATGAATTGTTGCATAACCTGCTCGCGTGTGCTTATGGGCTTTCAAACCAAACACGTTGTTCGGTGGTATGTCTAACTGCGCGGCGTCTTGTAAAGTAATTTATCGGCAATACAAAATGTAATAATTAGTCACATGACTCCAGTTGGGAAGTCGACAAAAATGATCCTTATGGAAAAAAATGTAATTATTTTAATTATGTGGATTGAATCACATCGGAATTAGTTACCTGTGCTTAATAATGTACCTATTGCTCAAAACGAATAATTAACAAATTACAAATTATTACTTGGTATGTAGGTGACCCATTCAAAAGTGAATCTCGAGTCGTCCACCATGACGATACTGAGTAGGTATAGCGATCTTGCAAAATAGAGAAAAACGTTTAGTATTGTTTCAATGTTTTACTCGTATGTACAACTCTCTAAACGAGAAAATTAGCTATTGATTTCAACCTAACGTTTTTTACCCGTTATTCTGAGGCATATTAATTGTTATATCGTATGCACCGGTGTGGCGTATTAAACTAGTTGTATAAGCTGAACCCTACAGTTAATCTCATTTGATACCCAACCACCTATGTACACCAATTGGGCACATTTAACAGCCAGTATGTACTAGACGTCATAACTATTGACACGATAAAACTACAATTTTATCACAATTGAAATCTTACCTTCATGTTTGAAATCAAAAAGTTGACGCACTTTACCGGTAATAGAAATTTAAAAAAAAAAACTGACTCTTATTTTACTATAGTGTGTCTGTAGCCTGCACGCGACGTATCCACGCACCACGCTAAACCACTCTCACTTTATCACACGAAACACTTGCACTCTCACGAGCGGTCACCACTGAATACACACTCACACGAGCGGTATCATCTCATAAGGTTTTACCTGGGTATGTTTTTGACCCCACCACAAGACCACGTGTCTTACACAACTCCAATAATACCAGACACATAAGCCCTTTCTCCCGGTTGATTTTTATTCAAACCGTTTGGAGTGTACCTGTACACCCGCCCACCCATCCGCCTGTAGGTACACACTTTTTACAATAGTATGCAAATCACTGACATAAATTATTGAAACGATGACCGCACAACGGTAATTTGGACGTCTTCTTTACGCCATCATCTTAAACGTACGTAGAGCCAGTGTTGATTTTTTTCCATTTGGTCATATTATCGAAATCCCGGAAACGTCGCACATCGCATTATATCGCCGGGCACACCAATTAAATATAATAATTCAAACAGCCATTACTATTAATATAACCGTAACCATCGATGGCATTATATTATTATCATATCATACGCCACGCGCACCGTACGAAATCGGAGTATAGAAATAATATGCTATTATTATTGCTTTTCCTACTCGCCGTTTTTCATCGATCAGCATCCCATAACAGGACATACTATTATGACGTCGGGCATTATCGTATCGATGTGCATCAGATATCACTTAAGCCGCAGCGTATATGAACAATAGGTTCTCTTGGATTTATACCACTGACGCCACGAGAATATAAAAGTGCGATGCTACTATGAAAACAACGGTCAATATACCTGATAAGGTGTCTAAATGATAGTGCATAAGAAACCTGAATCTAATTCATTGACAACGAAGCTAGGCAAAGTTATTTTTTTAAGCTGGTTTATGTTCAGTAAATTTTACTTTTGATAAGCTTTCAGTAAAAAGTTAGTTGTACAATTTGTATTATAAAAAACCCCATTTTATTCAAAACATAATATCGCGTGGACCGAGAAATGTGATGGTGGGTTTTACTTTGTCATTAGTCTTATAAATTATTAAGAAAACTACAGATACTCTCTGTAAGCATTAAAAACGTTTTGAAAATGTATGTTTGTCTGTTTGTCCTTTATGCATTAGTACATCATTCATCCGATCACCATGAAACTTTGGAAAGTTGTTGAGGACACTCCCGCAAACCTAACTGGCATAGTCTTTTCGAAAATTCCACCCCTAAGGGTGGTCTCAAACACGAACTTTGTACTTTAAATATTAAATGTAAATAAATAAAATGTTTGTAACTATGGTAACCCAAAATAAACACTTGGTTTGTAACCATGGTAACTACGGTACTCGAGCAAATGGTAGGTGATGATTAAAGGAACAGGCCAATTCTTTGTACCACGATTCTGGGCAAGCTTTTAACTGTGGAACGGGATCTGGGACCGGGACTGGGACCCTTAAGTAATAGGATGACATAATAACCGAAAAAAGTGTCACAAAAACGCCGTCACCCTGTTATCTGATAAGAGATAGAAGATTAGAGATTAGAGATGGAGATGGGGGTGAAAATGGGGGAATGGGAATTATTTTACTCAGCCCTAGCAGACTAAATCTTGGGTAACGCCTAAAATTATTAGGAAAACTACAGATACTCTCTGTAAGCATTAAAAACGTTTTTTAGAGATATTTGTATTGTTTATATATATATATATATATATATATATATATATATATATATATATACAGGGTGATTCTTATATCATGAACCAGTCAATACCGAGTTTAATTAACAATTGAATTTTTTTTATAATGCTTTTATAAAACATGATCTCAATTTTTCACAATTTTTTTTGTTTTTACCCCCCTTCCAACTTAGTTTTTTTGATAGCAACTTTTGAAACTTAAATGGTAACGTATATATTTTCTTAACTTTTTAAATTGAGAATAATGCACTAAAATTTTGACTGGTTGATAACCAGTTTCGAACAACTATTTTTAAAGGTTATAAGAGTTTAGAAGTTAGGATGGGAGGGGAAGTGCGTTTGGGAAATGCGCGCAGATAAAAATAAAAATACACTTCAACTTTCCTCTTGCCCTAAACTTGAAACTTCAATACAATATTTTTACGAATAAGGATATCCTTAACTCTTAAGTATTACCTATACAATAACAAATAAATCCAACACGAGTAGGGAACGCAAACTTAGCGGAACACTATAAACTTCTTCTGTTATTTACGGCCACTGCGCCGTAATCGTATGTTGGGTTGACCCTTTCAGTCGATACTGGGTGAAAATATTGTATTATATTTGTGCCTACTTGGAGCTTTTGGACTATTTGGGCTAATATTTTGGTGTGTTTTATTATTACACTGTTGTTAGGTCTAGTATAGTAATGGCCCAGGAAAGCCAATAAAGAAAATTCACACACCGAAGAAATAGTGAGTGAATAAAAATTAAAGAAATGTAACCGATAGGCATAAAAGGATTTAGGCAGTTAACATTACTTGAGCGATAACTGGTAAAGCAAAAAAAAGATACCTACATTGATAACTATACCGCTATATACTTCTATTTATTAGTATTAGTATTAGTAAATATTCCAATCACATGTCGAAACCTAAGCCAGGAAATTAAATAATAATGAGTCTGCAACTTAGTTACAGTAACAAACATAGTAGTATATAAAAAGTGCGGTTTGCATTGTAAATGTCACCGTGATACACGATGTCAGTCTAAATTCTTTTTTTTGTGATACCTATTTATTAATTTTGAGCATTTAATTATACTATAGCTCGACAATTAATCATTAAGTTTAATTTACAGTGCAATTGTTCTAATTAAAGAAATTAGCATCAATTATAAAAGAAATTTGGAGAACAGTAGAAAGGTATTTCAAAGGATATTAATGTCAGGAGAAGAGTTATCGTAGTGTATGATCTAAAACACATTTTTTTTATGCTATAAAATTATCCAAGCACTATGTGTGTTTGATCAACGCCAAAATCATAGGCTAAAATAGTATTAGTTACATTATATTAGCTCAACATTAATCTAGAAACTCGGATAAAACGTTATAATACTAATTGATTGGTTTTGGACCACGTAAAATGTGTTTGTTTCAACTTAATTTGATTAAAACAGACGTATCAATAGTTTCCTGGTTCAATTTTGCACTCACACCGGTATCATCTCACTTTCTAAAATTAACTGGCAGTTACTATAACTCGAATTAACCGATCTGTTTAAATGTGTCGATGGCAAATGGTACACAAAGTACGGGTGTCATTTCTTTAAAAAAGTAGCTATGCATAACTATAATATACACCTAATAGCCTCCTCCACTCTTGTACAAATATTACAAAAACTAAAGATTTTAATTTTTACTTCCTATGTCACATATAATAAACACATGGAATAATAGATTTATAATACATTTTCAAAAGTTGTTTTCTGTAAAAATAAGAAAAAAATGCCACTAATTTTTATAGTGCTTATGCACCATCGACATATTCCTCATGCTAATATTATTAGCTTTAATTTGATGAATAACCCTGCAAAACTTTGTTGTTCAATTAGTAAAAAATAAAATTACTTTTATTTTGAATGAATTTGATTACATTAGATCTTCTTTTCTTTTTTACCTTCTTACACAATTGTTCATGATTTTCAATTGTCATGTTCTATGTCTTCAAGGCTCCACTTTTTTGTTGTGTTTTTTTTTTACTTACTGACTGTACTAATTTAATAGCCCTGTTCTGCTATCTTGAAGATTGTATTTATTGATGACGTTCAAAATGATAAAAATACTCGAACCATCTGATTTGATTCATAGAAAAAGGGACCTAGGCGTCATTTTTGTCAAAAAGGAATTAATAGCGCAATTTTAGTTTTGAGAGGTATTTCCAACGTTTTGTACAAGAATTGATCCTATGACGATACTCCTGAGCTAGTAAACGGCATTTTGTTATTTCGTTTCATGCGAAAAGGGGCCTTATTCCCGGACTAAAAACTTTTTTTGCAATTCCCGATGTTGTATCTCGTTTACTTTATCTTTGTTTTTTTTTTAATGCCGGCTTTGGCGTCGTTCTATTATGGATTAAAATTAAATTTTAAAATTTTAAAAATGTTCACTTTTATAATTGAAAATGAATGTAGTATTGCAATTATCAAATTATTATTGTAATGATACATAATATTAGTATGATAATAATGTATTAAAATATTTTGCCATGATTTTGAGCGTTTTCTTTATCTCATCTCTGTTCGTTTTTGCAGCAAAGAATCAACTATTATGCTATCCATTTTTTTATACTTTTATCTATAAAATCTAAAGCCAAAAGTAATTACGTTTTCATACACACATTTAAGGTAAAAACTAAAAACAAGTTTTTTAAAAAAAATTGTAAATTCATAAAAAGTTGGAAAGATTTGTAATTTTCTCAAAATGTAATTTTAATGATAAGGTACTTTGTACATTAATAAAACACCAATTCATTTTTTAATTATGATATACTAACAAATCATTATATATATAATATTTAATTATATTAAATGCACATTAAGTTTAGTCATTACACCAAGTTTTCTTGAGAACACAATACTATTTTATTTTTTTATTATGAAGTATTTAATTTCACAATAAACGATAGCGATTATAGCTTGGTATTATACTATACGTTTTCCTCAAGTGTGATATTGTTATTTACATTTGTTCAAGTAGTTCAGTAATACAATTGATGTATTGTGTAATATTATATTATATCCACTCCCCAAGATGAAACTCTTGTAAATCAAGAAGTGCAGCGACAAGGTGAAGCCTTTAGATTAAAAAATATATAATACTAAGTTCTACATATCCATACACTTTGATCGGTTAATACTTGTTTTCTATAGTTTATACACATATTGTATATAAGCGTCAATCTAAGAAGAATTCAAATACGACCTTCGTTCCAGAACACTGATGCAAGTACTAGTTACTTGTTTAGGTTTGCATGAATTAACACATTTTTGTTGATATTTTGAGTTGCCGTTATCAACTTAAATACCTTATACTGATGAAAATGATCGATGATAGTTGATACTACAGTCTGAATGCAATTAAAAAAACTATAGGATGTAGACAATATCAAATGTGTATAGGTCTAAGGCCATTAGACAGGCAATAATTGTGCGTATAATTGTTTTACTAACCAACTATGAAGTTAAACATTAATAATGGTTTTACAAAAAAAAATAGTAGCTTCTAACTTTTTCACGAATAACAATAGCTTCATCCGGTAATCAAATATTCCAACGGGATAGTTAAACTTGATCTTCTTATTGAACAAAGTAGATAAATGATAATAAAGTTAAGTTATTACCAACTATACTATAATATCTATTGAGTAAACCCTTGTGAGCTATGACACTACACTTGGTGTTCACACATGGATTAGAAATAGGAATCGATTCCGGACTTTTAAAAGTGAATATATTAATATTATATCAATACAAATATAAAGACATAAAATAAATTCCACTACTACTTTTTTTTAATATTAAAATGTGACTATTAGTTTTATTTTTTCATGTAGTGAAACAGCCAATCTGTTAATGTACCTACATTGTACCGAAAATTGACTTACGAAATATTTGTTTACCATATTTAAATTATTGAGTTATAGTTTAGCAGTAATTCACGTTTAGAAAAACAGTCGATAACATAGTTTTTAATCCCATTACACTATATTCAGAAATTAAGGCACTCTAATTACAAAAAAACACCTTTCCCCGTGAAATACCTATTGGTCAACGAACGAATTATGTCATGAGATTATTAGGACACCTTATATGTAAACTATTGTGAAAAATACATACTTAGGTGTATATAATTAGGTATATAATATTATGTATTATATAATTATTTTTAATTAAGCGTTTAAAAAATTATATAAAATTAGTGTATATTAATTATTTATTAGTTTACTATTTAATTGATATTTGTTTATTCGAATGATTTGTATTTTTGCTTCGATTCCAAGCGTGGTTTTAGTTTCATACTTTTTATATTTTTATGTCTTTACCCATAATAATTTTTAGTTACCTTACCGGTTTCATCATATATATATATATATAGTTAATGAATAATATATTTTACTCTAAAGTTACTTGTAAGAAGGAAAGTAAAAAATCAAAACATTTTCAGCAATCGCATCAAAGCTAAAAAGTTCAACATTTCCTCTCATCAATTAATTAACCCCTAATTCTTAAAACTTAGTGTTTATCGAAAAAAACTCTGAATAATAACCAACATTTTATTAATATTAAATTTTATAATTTATTTTCAATTGTACAGTTTTAAAATAAATGTTACCTACATTGGAGATTAAATTTATTTTTAAAAAATGACCGTCAAAAATTGAACAATAGTTCAAGTTTTTATTAATTTTTCGAGTTTTTTACTGCCTTAATATATTACTGGAGTTTTAAAATAGTGAGTTAAACATACTGATAAAGAATTAGGTAGGTTAAAAAGGTAGTTGGTAAATTTGTACCTTAATAGATTTTTCTTAATGTGACCCATCAAACTACTATGCATTTTTTAATTTTCTATTTGCTGTGTACTATAGGAATATGAATATTGATAATATTTTGTCAATCTGACCAAATTATTGCATCAGATGATCTCTCTAATTTAAGCAATACACTTTAATTAATTGATGATTATTTTCTTCAATTTCTTAAACAGAAAGCAATCAATTAAATGTATTGTTCACTTTATGTTTTCATTTTTAAGAACGTATACAACAGAATTAGAGGTGTAGTATATATTATATACTTGACAGTTAACTAAAATACCTAGAAAATACCTTTAGTAAAAATACCCAAGTAGCGAATGCATCAGAAAACATTCTCTCTAGGAGCGAGCGGCGAGGGCTTTACACGGGCTGCTTTAACTGTTTTCGAAAAATATCTAAGTATAATGAAGTAGCCAATTTAATCTCACTTATCAATATTTTATAAATGCAACTTCCACAGTATCACCTAAAGATACTAGACAAAATTAACAATCATTTCTTTATGAAAGATTAAAAGGGAAATCGTTATTCAACTATTTTACCGGTTTTTGTTTTTTTTTTAGCCAAGAAGATGTTTTGGTATATGGTAGACGATGAATCCGGTTTTAAATATTTAAATACAAACGATTTTAATCACTGTCAATCTTTTTCCTGGAGGGCTACCTAAATCTGAACAATAAAAACCAATTCGTTAATTAATTATATTAATTTAAAACTATCATTACAATTGCTCATTGTTATTTTAACCGTTAACTGTTGACAATCCACCTGTTGTTATTTGTGGACTGCATGTGGAAGATGCCGAATTAATTAATTATTTTTTTTAATATCGTATTATTGCGCAATCATGAAGAATCTTAGTTTGTTGTACTAAACGTTGTTGCAAAATGATTTTTGTCGTTCAATAAATCTAATCTGTACGTGACCAACACAAAAAATAATTTATCGAACAATAATATATTTTTTTATACGCACGTGTAGTTAATCTAAACAAAAGGCGTCGTTAATCTAAACTCACAAAAAACCACTTTAGGTTTCAACAATTAGGTACTTTTTAACAATGCATTAGGTGCTTATTGGTATTATAGATTGTTCCGTTTGTAAAAATTGTTTTATTACAAATGATTATCATATTACTAGATAACTGCATTGAAGTTATATACTATTAAATACTCAACACTATGGTATATACTATATGTACACCGAGTGATCCGTGTAATGTAAAGCACTCAATGTTTTAGAAATTAATTACAAAAATATTAGTAGTTTTTCAACTGTTTATGCTAATGTACAATTTTATATTCAAGCACATAATATTATATATACAGGATGATAATTTTATCGTGAATCAAATAATGTACTAACCATTTTGACTGGTTGATAACTTATTTTTAAAGTTTTAAGAATTTAAAAATTCGGATAGGAGTGGAAGTACGGTTGGGAAACCCGTGCAGATAAAAATAATACTTAACTCCACCTTTTCTCTTTTCCTAAACTTTAAACTTCAATAACTTCAAAAATAGTTACCCAAAGCTGGTTATCGGCCAGTCAAAATTTTTGTACATTATTCTCAATTTAAAAAGTTAATGAAATATATGCGTTATCATTTAAGTTCTAAAACTTGTTTTAAAAAAAAATAAGTTAGAAGGGGGTAAAAACAAAGAAAAATTGAAATCAAATTGAATAAAAACATTATGAAAATAAGAAATTAAATTTATTAATAAATTCAATGAGCTATTGAGTGGTTCACGATAAAATTATCACCCTGTTATATATAACATTTCAAATTTAATTTAAATGTGCGCTTAAAATAGGAACAAGATAGGAATAATGCACTAAATGTATAAAAGTGGCATAGGTATTAAATAATATAGGTACATTATTAATATTGATTAAACAAGTTTTTAGGGAAAAAATATGTTTAAGGATTTTTTTAATACATTAAGCTTTATAAATTATAGGTCTTATGTCAATACGAGCAGGTTGACGTTACTTTATACGTATATAGCGTCCGTAAATTTTGATAATAATACTATTTGAGTAGTCGGGTCATGCCAGACCGTGAACCGAAAGTAGAATAATGCATACTCTTCTTTAAAGTGATATTTCCAACTGTCGGACATAATATCATATACTCATCACAAGTGGTGGTTGGTAGGTTAACACGCACCATGTTATTATAGTACTTTTATTTTACAGTCGGATGGTTATAAAAATGTTGATTGCGTCACGTACGTTGTATTTTTTTACCATTAATTTTACACAGTCAAATATTACCATTGTAATAACGCCTACATATTATGTCTACGTTAGCTAATTGTTATGTTAAGAAATCTTCTTCGATTTCTCAAATGACAATCGTCAATCTGATGGTTTGAATTATAATAATTAATTATAAATCAGCGAAGTGTAAAACGATAGGTCGTCAAGTATTAATTTTATATTATGTAAACAAAACCCATGATGAAAAATGCAGAATATCTTGCTCAAATCGAAAAGTTGTATTTTATATCATCTCAGAGCCGTGCCGCTGTATTATACTATAGATTAGACTATTGCGTGTGACTTATTTCTAATTACCCACTTAGTACGTTTATATTATGTCGTTAAAACCGTTTTTAAATTAAATCATTGTGAAATTAAAACGCATTCATGTTCTGTAAATACTTGAGACCGGTTTAAATACATCAAATTAAAACGATCGTGCTATTTAGTTAAAGAAATAAAATCGTTTTAAACGTGACTTAGAGTTTCGAATATTTGCTGTCACTTATCAGTTTTTGGTCATTATGAGATCTCTTGGAACAAATGATTCAGTTATGTAGCAAACAAATTATATTTATATCAGTTTACAAATTGTTCACTAAACTGATTTAATGATGTATGGACCTAAAAATTGGGTAATTGAAGAAATTTAACAACTATTTAAATTCAAACTGTTTCAACGTCATTATATAAACGTACTTACTAAAACTACGTATTACGTTATTAATTGTACCCGTTTTTTTTTAGGTTCTGTATAGATAATTTTCTTGCAAACGCTTAAATATGCAATACATACCTATTAATACGCCATGACAATTCTTTAGTAGTAGTTATTTTATTGTCAGTCCTTCACTGCACTCCTGGAAACATTTTTGTTATTTTGACATGATAAAGCTACACAAAGTGAGTTTCCTCGGTTTATGATAGTTTTAAATCAAAGAACTTATTATTTATAAAAAGCCACTCATATTTTGATATTTTTATGTACGTTTTTCTTTATTACTGTATTTATCTCGATGGTGTTTTTTAAATTATGCTTACAAATATGTACATCAAACCGGTGAATTCATTGTACATATTTTAATTATGAATACAACTTTGTTGACTTGAGTGATTTTTTAAAAAAATAATATATATATTAGATCTTCAGTAGGATACTAACAGTAATTTGTGTACTTTCCTTCTAGCGTCACTTCCAATGAAAGGAATGAGAACAACTTCTATATACTATTGTATTGTAATATCACATAAAAAATACAACGATGCAGAAAATCAAACTATTGAATACAATATTAGTTATTTCAATTATAAACTTTCGAAATTGGACGTTAAAGACAAATGTAAGCATAAGATATAATAGAAAATGTTGAATGGCTCTGCAATATTTTTTTAAATACTATGGTCGTTTTAATCAAGTTTCATTACAATGCATTTAATAATATAATTTTTAAATAGCCTGCCTTAAAAATAATTGTCGTTGTAGTCATTTCAACAGCCATTAAATCAACTATTAAATTAATTAAAAATGGTGTTGCGTGGAATTTCATTAACTGTATGTTTATTACAAAAATATTTTATATAATAAAACATACTTTATGATTTTCTAGCAATAATAACTGGATTTTCCAGTGGTTTTCTTAGATTTCTTCGAAATAATTTAAATAGTAAAAATATTAATTAAAAACTACAAATGATCTAATCGGATATTTTAAAATCTCAATAATTATTTCAGACTAAATTTTGAATATTATTGATTTTGTAGCAGCAATTCCACTGTTTAAATAATTACATTATAATTAAATGGGGGTAGAATAATTATAGTGTATAGTATAATTTTAAAATACTAACAATTCACTATTTAAGTTAATTCTTATTATAATTTCTTGCAATTTTAAAACCTTACAACTATTAGATAATTGTTTTTTTTTTTTTCTTATGTCTACATAGTAAAACGTGTTAGCGGCAATCATTTTTTAATATAATATAATGCATTGTGCGTTTAATGCAAAGAAGAAAGTAATAATTACAATTAAATAAATTGCACATATCATAATAAAATAATAGCATACAGAAAAAAATGTTTTTTTTGGTCATTACTGTAGTATGATAGTATGATACAGAATTAGATACTAGTAGCCTGTAGGGAGTGAAAGTAATTAATTTTTAATTTATACATTTTTAAAGTTAACATATTGTTTTACTTTTTATTGTTCACATTATTCTTGGTTTATACGATTGTACTTAGTATATATTTGTCGAATGTTTCCCCTTTTCACAGCCGAATAACAATTAATTAACTGTACACAATACTTAAAAGTATAAAAATAAAAAACTTTAATTGATACAATGTGTGGTATTTAGTTATTATTGAAACATAGTTATGTTAGGTCATTCAGTGAAATTAGAGTGAACATTGATTCCGAAAAACAGTGGTCGTTTGTTTAAGCTATTTATCAAAATTCCGCAAGTGATAAATGGAGTTTAGTGAAAATCAATTTTTTGGAGAGAATGAAAAAATAAATAACATATAATATTTGTTTTTAAAACATTTTGGAATTATTTAAAATGTATGATATACTAATTTGCTTTGATAAATAACGTTTGTCAAGAAGATGTATTGTAAACCTAATTTTCGTACTTAAAACTCTGGTTACTGAAAATACATTTTACTCAGGCTATAAATTTAGAATAAAAACACCTATAATAAAAATGAAAAAAAATAACATCTGTAAAACACTTTTTTTCAAAAATATCCCCAAGAAAAAAAGGTATTACTGTTTTAAGAAGTGAAAACTAACTTTTTTTAACACCAAATATCAGACTAAATAATGATTACATTAAAAAAAATATATATATCTATATATCATCATCTTTTGATTTATTAATACGCATTTTTACTTAAAAATATTACCATAAACCATGTAAAACAAATTCTGAGAAGCTATGTTTAAGGTTAGAAAATTAATGAAAAACGTTGCCAAGGGCGCTGTGGAGATCTGATAATATAATTACATTTTTTATCAGTAGAACTAAGTATTGCCTATTATTATTAAAGAAACATATACATAATAAATACTTGAGGTTCAAAATTATATTTTATCATTGTGTCACAATATTATTACTTAAAAAACTGTAGTTTAATAAGGTTTTCATGGTTTTTTTGGAAAGAAGAAGTAAAATTTTTACTTTCACAATTCCTTTACTTCTCCTCCTTTCACGTGAAAACTAGAATTGATCAATATAAAAGTAGTAATGAAGTCGGTTTAGCAGTTATATTTATCCACTTTTCTTTTTTATTTAGACAATCAAACTACAACCTGTACTTATATAATATTTTGTACAATGAAACACATATTTATGTAAATAGGAGTTTAAATAGGTATCGGTAGTCATTTTACCCCCTCCCCTCATCAGTTTCAAAAATGTTATAAGATCAGTTAAAAACTTTTATAGCTTTTTAAGTTCGTACTAACGTTTGAGAATTAAATCTTTTGAGATATTTTTTTAGCTCCTAAGTGATTGAATGAATACAAATTAAAACTATAAACTAGTGGTCTGTTTCGAATTTATTTGAATGGCCCATTTAATATTGCAGTAAACATGAGATTAAGAAATACTGCATGAACGGTATATCGCTCCAAATACTGGAAATTTAGCTTTCAGTTAAAACTTGAATTAGTTACATACATTACTTTTTCTTCTTCAACAACAAGTTATAAAACGGTTTTTTATATATAATATAAATTAAAAACATTATATAAACTCATAACATGTCGTTAATAAATTTTATAAAGTAATAAATCGCATGTAAATTTAAGCATGAAAATGTTAAAATATTTTCTTAAGATTAATACAAATCTCCTTTCTATTAACGTTTTAATGATTATCCCTTAACCCGAGTCCTATAGTAGTATTACTTGTATAAAACACGAACTATAAATTTAACTAAATAAGTTTCTGGTATTTAATTAACTTACGCATAGGAAATAAACATCAAATATGATAACTCATTATGATATACCATGACATTTAATCATCAACTGCAAAAAAGTTATTAAAAATCAATTGTCTATTAATTTGTATTGATTTGTTTAGAACCTATACATTTTTATCAATTTATCTAGCACCCTCATTATTTATTCATATGGAAATAAATATAAATGTGTAAAATGTACGTTTAGTTGAAGAAGAATACTATTTTGGTATTTGTTAGATTAATTGTTTATACATTTCAAAGTGACTCTTAGATGAGATGACCTTCAAATAAATTCGATGCAACTTAATAACTCTACTTTCTACAATTGATTATAAATATTATAATAAGAAATTAATAATAATAAATATTTATAACCAATGCTACTAATGCTACTATCAAGATGTGACTTAACGTTTGTTAATGGCGTATATTAAATTAAATAACATAAATATATATTTTTTCTTTAGTCTATGTTATATAATTACATCTTAGTGTTTATTATGTTTTTATTTATTAAAAAAACAAATATGAAAAGTCTACACTTCACGTGGCCTAAATTTCGGGTTGATGTCTAACATGACAGCTTTTTTTATGTATTGTATTTAGCCAATGTTTATCACTTTAACGTAATTAGGATCCAAAGCAACAAATTGTTAAAAAACATGGGTAGACATAACGGCATATACTTTTTTTGTACTTTATCCTTCATCTATATATATTTATATATTATTCGTGTCCTTCGTTATTTGCGTCAATAACAGTATATGTTTATATTTTGTACCATATTTTGATGATATTTTTCTTTTTTTGTGCAAAACGCTATATAGTCTATAGATCAATAGAGTTTCGTACTTATTTCTTCGCCTACCAATGTACTTTTATAACTCTGTTGCGTCCTCATCTACCTCGATCGCTTTTCTCCATTTTAGTATATGCTTGCTATATAATTCTTTGTTTATACTTAAGTCAATAAAATATAACATGCAGAAAAAAAGGCACAAGACAAAAAACATCTTGACTTAAATGTTCATTAGTAAAACCCAAAAGTTAAATAAAATCAACCCCAAAGTACAAATATATATGTGAAACATTAAATGATAATATTTGAATTAAACATTCTAGTTAATTAATAAAAATTTTCAAATAAATAAATATTTTTAAAATAAACTATCTAACTTTAATCAATCATCTTTTTATCGTTTTCATTTCGCTGCATTGTTAAATTGATTAACCCTTCTTTCTAATTGCTCTCATTGCTATATTTTTTTCTAGCTTATCTTCCCATGCAATGTTTTTCTTTTGGAAACAACTTTTAAGGTTCATTTTTAATTTTAAGGTAATTCATTTGATAATTATAGTTTACTGTAAATAAGTGAATAAGTTACGAAAATTACATAATAAACACTATGAATCGGTTTCTAATAATTTTTGACTTTTAATCTAGACAAACTAAACAACTTATGGTTATATGTATGTAATAAAATAATATTAAAAACCCTTAACCATACAAATTATATACTCTCCGCGTATACGACGTATTTCGGCAACAATGTTGTCATCTTCAGCGCTAACGACAGACTGAGTCTCAGTTTATTTTTGGCTTTTAATTTTTTTTTTTGTAAGCTCAAGGCGGGCTAAATAAGAATAAAGGAGCTTGTTACCAATGTTAAGTATAACCTAGACAAGCGTCTAGTCTTTTTAAATTGTTGAAAGTCTAGGGTGATTCGTAGAAATTTACTTTATTAGTTTGTCAAAAAAAACCTAATTAATTAGGTTTCCACACTTTTGAACTTTTTCACAGTATAGTTTTAACTCAAAGTATACTATAGAATTCTAAGGCATTACAGATTTTGAAGTTATCAACAATTGCACTTGAGAAATCTTCTATTAATATAACACTAAAATTACGGTCAACTGCATTCACTTGCTCAAAGATAGGTCATAAAAATAAAGTTTTCAAGGTCTCAGATACTAACTGAATCGATAGAACTCTCTTAATCACGTGCTAAGGTTTGTTATACTTAGAATGGCGAAATAAAATAATTACACGCTTAGATAAGTTTAATAAACGCCAGCTAAAGAATCGATTCACATTGAAAGACAAACAACATTCATTGATAAAATAAACATTAACATTTTTGAATCACCAACAAAGTTTATAAAAAACAAAACATTTGCTCAAATATTTAATAAGAGTTGTTTTAAATATTGTGATTAGGCAACTAAATACACTTGCATGCTTAGGACCAATTTTTAAATTGCTTTATTAATTCAATTATTTCTTTAAACTAATAGTTTTATATTTGAATTGTTTAAATCATTTGCATAAAAATATTATAAATTTAACATTTATAACAGTACTCAATTCGTTTAAAATAGCCATTTAATATTACAAATATTCTAACGAAAAAAATAAATACATTTTTTCAACTTGAAAAAAAGATTCCAATGCTAAAATATGACTCTTTAAAATCCTTAATTCTTCTTTATTTCTCCGTGATAAAATTGGTTTTTTAGAAAGTTTTCGAGATTACTTTTATCAGTTTCTTAATGGGTTATAATTTGATAAAAAAATGTACCATGAAATATCAAGAGATGAAACCTATTATCTATTACCTAATGCCTAATACCTATTATCTATTTGAGTGGAACCACTAGTCGATATTTTAAAATTAGTTTTAAGAGTATATATAATAGAGCTGAATTTATAAGTAATTTATTAGAAAACACTTAAAACAATGGGACACCACAACGGTATAATGTTAAATCTAACAGTTATCTTGGCAGTATTTCTCGTTGTTGTACTAGGGCATATAAAGGATAATGCAAATCATGGTAATTATTATTTAATATTTGTATTATATGATCACTAATATCTTTAATTTATAACTAACAAGCGGCTGAATTTTACATAAAGTTAAATATATAAAAACAAATTATTTGCTCATATGCCCAATGTCAATTTTTAACTCAGGGCGCTGGAAAAATTGAGGCTAAACAGACCCCATACCGTCAGTCATCATGTCTTTTTTAGATGTACATACCCTTATTTATCTTAATAATACATTTTATTATATAATACAATAACCCAAATTTTTAAACAAAACATAAGTACCTAAAATTATACTACTTTATATTGTAAATATATTAGATTAGGCAAAAATAATTCTTAATGAACATAAATATTATAAAAAATCATACATAATAATAAAAATAGAAAGAATTTCAATGTGCTACAATTGTAATTTATGACCACTTTTAGCATTTTCTTTTACTATTCTTTTTGACCTGATGTTATTAGATAAGCTTTCTTCTATTTGTATTATAGCCCAGTTAGTAATTCGATCTTACACCATCGAATTACGCAACCAATTTTTTATACTGCGCGTATCAGAGAATAAGCGTTTGCAAGTCGCAGAGCATAATGGTATTGTAAGTGCTACTTTTGTAAGGTTAAACACATTTGGATAAACTTCATGATTCACTTATTGTTTAAGATACTTAAGTATATATTAGTATTTTAAACATTTATACACAACCTAATTTCTTATTTAAGTCTACATTTTTTTTGGGGGGGGGGGGGGTTCTACCTTTAGGAGAATAAGCCGGGTGAGGGGCTAAATTTATAGGTGTAGGAGCTTTTTGTACCTATAAATTGCAGTTATTTTTTACGACTTACTTATTTTAATTAATAGAATGCAATTTCTTTGTTATAATTTGTTTAGCCTTTACATAATAGAACGCATAGCTGAAAACTGACAAAATTACATCATTATCATTTTAAATACCTTTTAAAAACTTTATCCTTACATATATTTTTTCAAATTAACATCATTAAAATAGTGAATATTAAATGCCATCACACATGAATTATTTAAAGAAATAAATTAAAAAACAACTTTAAGGTTTTAAAATTTAACTAAAAAGTACCTAACGATTGACGACTTTAAAAAAAATTAAGTGATCTTTAATGGAAATGTCATGACAGCCGAATATGTGTTAATCGTGGATATTTGTAAAGGGTTAAGATGTAGGTAATCTATTTTGTCAAAAACATTAAATTTGTTAACTAGTTTTTTAATTATTTTGTATCAGCTTATAGGATATGATTTTTAACGTATAATATTTTATTATGAATGTATATTGCCTCTGGTTTTCGAAGAGTTTTAGGTATTTCGGCGGAGAATAATGACTTAAAAATATAGCTCACACGCTTCGCGAGAAGGTTTGAAATTGGTTTTTTTTTTGGTTTTCATGAAGAATAAATTTTCGTTTACATTACTAAAAACAACAAAGAATTGAGTTAAATAAATTTTAAAATAAAAAAAAGAGAAAAACGTTCATTTGAGGTCAATCTAACCCAGTTATTTACGATGAATTGAATTAAATCAAAATGAACTTGTAGCTGCAAGTGCGAGTATAAAGAAGGGTTGCCCATACATGCATCACAAAGAAGTCTACAATAGTCTAAAAAATGTACTATCGAGACCGAAAAAAATGAAGGGTGATGTAAATGAAGACAGTGATCCGAATCCATTGATTATACCGTAAACACATTAAAAAGAACATACCATATTTATGAAATTTCCAAGTGTACTCTATTCAATATTGTTGTTGTTTAGTGCGATTAACTCAACGAATGCTGTTGGATATTTGTCGGAAGAAGAAATAGACATTGCTGACCGATGTTTTTCAATACCCGAATGTAATTCTAGCGCTCATTATAGAACTTACGACGGTTCTTGTAATAATCTTCGATTCCCGACATGGGGACAATCTGGTTTGGCGAACATTCGTATAATCCAAGCCGATTACTCCGACGGTAACTAATTATTCTTTTCAAGCTTGAATTTGTTGAAAGTCTGCTACCTACACATTATAATGACAAATAAATTTAGGTGTAAGTCAACCAAGGAAAGCAAAATCAGGCAATGATATGCCGAATGCTAGAAAAATACGAACAAACATTTTTCAAAATCGGGAATGCTCAATTGTCGACCGTAACCTTTTTATGGTAGAATTAGGTCAAATCATTGCTCATGATACAACACTAGGATTGTTGAAAATTACAGGTATGATTTTATTAATAAATTGCATTTGTAACTTAAACCCAATTAATAATCTATTTTTCATTCGTGTACCATATGTATAGATGACGGAAAAGTTCCCCAATGCTGTACTTCAAATCACTCGATGCCGGAAAACTTACCAAAGGAGTGTATTTCGGTTGAGGTGCCAGACGATGATCCTGTTTTGGAAAGGAGATGCATTAATATCACAAGAAATATGGACACTCGTGATTTAGGTTGTGACATTGCGCCAGTGAGACAAGTAAGAGCACGCATACATGAGGACTAAACATTTACATTAAAACTTTATATAATTTAAAATGATTCCTATTGTAGGTAATTGGTGTTAATAGCTTTATTGATGGATCGGTGATTTACGGTTTGAACGAAGAGCAAGCATATTCATTGAGAGCACATAAAAACGGCAAACTCGCTACACAAGAGGGACCCGAAGGGACCGAATTCTTACCCAATGTCAGAAATCCAGAAGACGTGTGCTTTGAAGCCGACAATGACACCATTTGCTATACTTCTGGTAAATATACTAAATTAAAACAACTAAAAAATGAAAATCAACAAATCACATTTTCATAAATTCTTAAAGTATACTAAAAAATGACGTGTTACGTTTTATTTTAATATAAATATGTTATTGGGCTGGGGGTCATTCTGAAATTGGCGTGGACAAGTTTAGGATTTCGTGTCATCAATATAAAAGTAGATATAAAGATATAGATTTATTTATTTAAAAATAAATATGTGTACCATGGTACTATAAAACACACGTGTACATTTGCGCTTCATATAATGATCGTATAGCAAACTTTATATAAAGGTACCACAGAATAAATTAAATCACAATGGAAACATTGATAATTAAACATGGCAAATTTAGATCGCATTATCTATGACCTGCAGCCATTATCTAATGTAATCAATTTATTATATCTAATATATAAATATATATAATTCATTTATTTCGGACCCACTCAGAAAATGGCTGCCGTTTTTTGTTTACACAATAGCTTTCCATGCTGATATCATTTATTTGGTGTGGGTACCTGGTAGATCGACGACGACAGCGGAACGCGTTTTAACATGGATATTATGTTATTTAGTATCAATATTATAAGATATTTTCTCCGCTTCATGAAAAAACATTGAGTAAGGCATATGTACTACAAGGTCCCGCAAAAACTTATATATGTTTTTTCGCAGAGCTGAGAAAATAACTAGGTTTTTTTCTAATCAAAACATAACATTCTTGAAAGAACTAAAATGAGTGACATTTTTAAGGTGATCTTAGAGTAAACCAACACCCTGACCTAGCGGCTGAGCACATCATTTTGTTGCGTTTGCATAACGCTATTTGCGACGAATTGCTTAAGGTCAATCCCCATTGGGACGACGACAGGACATATCTAGAGGCCAGACGCTTGTTTGGAGCCATATACCAACATGTCATATACAATGAATATCTTCCTTCTCTTTTAGGTAGGCAGTGAAAAACACCTAATTTTACAATAAAAAACATATAAAAATTCTTACAAATCATTCATGCCTACTAGGAAAGGATTTCGTAGTGGCCAACAAACTCTTGCCGGCTAGTGAAGGATTCACCGATGGTTATGACGAATTTTTGAATCCGACGACCATAACGAGTTATCAAGCAGCCGCTTTCAGACTAGGACACACCCTTATACCAGGATACGCAGAGTAATATAGTTAACCTAATTTATTTCAATGGGGATTCACGACAGACATTTAAATTTCGTTTATAGACTTGTGAACAATTCATGGGACACAACGACGACTGTGAGTTTGAGCAGCTCCTACAACCAAGTACTACTGCTTCAAAAACCAGGAATTTATGAGAGTGTCATCAAAGGAATGCTCAAACAACCGGCTCAAGAAGCGGATAGGTTTTTCCAAAAAGAGGTGTTATTTAGCTATTGCAACCTCAAAAAGATGATAAATCATAAATACTTTTGTTAAGTAGATCACCGATGAATTATTCAAAGGCGCTTCTTCAGAAGGCGATGATTTGATAAGCATAGACATACAGCGTGGCAGGGACTACGGAGAACCGTCGTACAACAAATTTCGTCAACTGTGCGGGCTACCCGAGGCAAAAAATTTTAGTGACCTAACCGATACGATACCTCTAAAAGTAATTCGGTCCACTTTTAATACTACAAAAATAAATACCTTCAAATATCTTATGCATGGTTTATTAATATGTCATTGGATATGAAGAAAAATAAATTTAAAAGAAAATCTAGAAGGCCTAATTAAAGATCATCTAGATTGAACTTTACTATTATTCTAAACAAAATTTCAGAACTCACATTCATCATTTTCATTATAATTATAATAAAATCAGTAGAACTCGGCTAATTATTGTAACTGTCTAAACGTACGAAACTAAAAACACCTTTTTTTTTAAGTACGTGAATCTATTACAAGAACTGTACGAAGACGTGGAAGACATAGACTTTTATGTCGGTGGTCTACTGGAAAACAACAGACCCGGAGCCCTCATGGGTCCAACTTTTCAGTGCATAGTCGGAGAAATGTTTTACAGGTGGAAATTTGGAGATAGTTTCTACTACGAATTTAACAATCGACCAGGATCGCTTACTTCAGGTAAATCAAACAACAGTTACATATTGCAGTTTTTTTTAAATGTAAAATTGATTCTTCAACTGAACTACAGATCAACTAAGTCAGATCAGAAAATCCTCACTCGCTCTAGTTTTATGCGTCACGACTCAGGTAGACTCCGTACCACGTGTTACACTTAATAAATATGATGATGGCCAGTAAGTATTACAAGAATATTTATATTTTTGATTATAAATGTAAATTACATTAAAGCTCATACGTTAAATAATTGTATGTTAGTTGTTTAGTGTTTACAGGTATCAAATTTTCATTAACGTTTTTAAACTAGTTACCTTTTTATTAGTTTCGACGTGTTATCTGTGTAATTCACAAATAAAACGCCTTCCTCAAATCTAATACCTAACGTTTTTTTAATACTTACAATTACTGTTACAATATAAATATTAAGTATGTACCTGTACTGATAGTATTTAATTTTGCGATTATAGAAATCCGAGGGTGTCTTGTGATTCAATTCCATTGATTGATTTTTCTCCGTGGAAAGAATATCACTAATAATTATGTTATTAGTTATCACATCACTTATAGTCAGACATAGTCGTAGTGAAAAATATATGTAGCCCCTTTTAGATTGTTAATGTTTCTATAATATTACTCACTTGTCACTCTACAAATATAGCACATTTGAAATACACGTTTTAATAAACTATTATGCTGTACAAATAAGTTTTTCTAAAATTAATATAATATTCATTAATTTACTCTTGTAATATGTGTATGTTTAAGGTTTTTTATTGATGTTGTATACAAAGCAGTAAATGCGTTAGGTAATAAGCCTATTACTATAATATATTATATGCAATACATTAAACTTAAAACGGGAATGGATCATCTAAAAACAATTAATCAATATTTTTTTATTATTAAATGTATTATTTTGTGATCATCTGTGTTTTTATAATTGTAATTAGCCTAATTTTTAGTACGTGATCATAAAACAATTTAATGGTAACTATGAAATTAAGCAAATAAACATGTCTGAATGATTCGTATTTTCTACTGCTCCCAAACGTTGTGTTTGACTGTAAGGTGTTATCTGAAAATAACTTTTAAACTGCAATAAATTTTGCACTTATAAATTAATTTTAATGTTATCTGTTAAATTGGAGTTTAAAAGATTTGTTAAAAAATACATTGGCCCGTTGCAAAATGTTTACAGAGGAAGTCACTTGAATGATGGTAATTTAAGTAATTGAGAAAAATTATCAACATAATCTCTGGCTTAACAATATTTTGTCAAACAGGTTATTTATCAATAAGACATTGTTTCTACTGGGTACTTTGGGAGGTAAAATTATCTAGCAAAAAAATATTACTGCTACTACTACTCATAAGCTTTACAGGCCATAGTGACCCTTGGCTTCCAAAACAATTCCTCTCCACTTATCCTGATCTTTAGCATACCACTTCTCCAATTCTATATACCCGTCTGTTGTAGATCCTTCTTTACTTTATCTATCCATCTACTTCTTGGTCGTCCTTGTCTTCTGATTTTTTTCATTTATGCCAACATTACGCGTTTGGGTATTCTTTTCTCGACCATACTTTCAAAAAAAAAATATTACGAGTAATTTCCAATATTTGTACACAAATATCATGTGTGAAGGTCATCATAGTATATTACTCAATTATTGACAAAATTTCATTTTATATGACACATTTTTCCTTTGCTATCGATATTATACTGAGTAATATGAATATTAATTTTATAAAAATAATTTAATTTCAAAATAAACACTGTAAATAACACTGAATACTATAGGTCTTACAGTTATATAAATAACTATTTATAGTCTAATACCGACATCATATAACCCTCTTCGTCTTCTCTCTGCTTCTAATGCTCTACTAGAGTTACTCTACTCTTCTACTCACCGCTATCGCCAAATCAATTTACTTCTCTCGATTTTGTTCTATATCTCTCCAATTCTGTACTCCTATCCACACATTCACCTTTTTTTCAAAAGGGGCCTGGCAGTCTTTTCCCTTCTGGCTTACCATCCATCAATCCTAGAATTTCGGCATACTCACTTGGCGCATTATAATATAATGTTATATTACCTATGCCCTACCGTTGTATTATCTGGCTTTTTACGATATTATTGACTGTTGCCATATATTCGTTTTTCCGAACAGATAACGTTTTTACCATCCACTAAAATGGTCAAAATAAGAAACCAAATAGTGTTCTATGGAAAATATGGAATTTTACTTTTTTAATTTTTCATTCACAAAATGAACGCTTTGGACTAAACAATTTTTTTGTTTTTCAACACGATGAATAAAAAACCAGCACTTGAAAACCAATTACAATTTAAGAAAAAATTCTTTAAACTGAAATATGGCACTTCAAAATTACTGAATTGATATTTCACGATGTACACTTTTATCAAGATGCAGCCCATTTAAACTGATAAAACTAATACTTTGATAACTTTCTAAAACAGTGTTATCACAAAATATAAAACAAGTATATGTTGGATTTAAGAGTCTTTTGAGAATTTACTTATGGGAAATAGAATTGATGTACCGGGTGATTGGTTAACTATGGACCACTCAATATCTTTGAAGATATTAGACTTTTTTAATTTTTTTTTTTTTTGTACTATTATAGTTATTAGGTGGGACAAATTTAATGTATTTTTCAAAATTTTAACACCATCCCTTATGCGTTAAAACGATATCAACTTTAGATTTTTAAATGGTAACCCCCAATTTTTTTTGATGATCGTGTTTATTTTTTTAAAATTTAATTTTAGGCGTAAAAACTAGCTAAATCAGACAAGTACTATTAAAGTTATAGCTTAGTACTACAATATTATAATATTAGCTTATATGAGATGCTTTTATAAGTTTTACAGCTAAAGAAAAAAATCGTTTATCGCCGGATCTCACGTTTCACAAAATAAGATTGATTAACGATACGGTTGTAGATTAAAGTTAATAGTTGACGGTCGTCGGTCACAATGAAAACGAACCAATAATAAATCTATAATAATATTATATGGCTAATGTCTTCTTATCTGTTTTTTCTGTAGTGTTCCTAGCGGTGCGGTGTACCTGTACGTATTGAATATTAGGCATTAGCTGCTGTTAACAAACAATATTATGAGCCCTAGTAAATAGTTTTTTTTTCAATTTCAACCATAGGTTACCGTGGTCTTATCACGGTCTTATATAGAGTATATACCGTGGTTCTACCAAAACGATTCGTTTCTAGTGTAAATTAATATCAACATAGAACAAATTATTATAAAAATACGACTACTTGAAAACTAATCAAAAAGTTCATTATTCTAATTTTTTAATTATTATGGTTATTTAGCGTCTTGGTTTTTACTTTAAATATTTAGCGTCTTGGTCTTAATAAGTGTTACTTGTACTGGTGTCTTAACTAGTCAAATTATTAATTCTGTTAGTGAAAATATTTTTAAAAAAACTTTAATAAATAACATTCAATTTTTTGTTTTTTTAGTATAATATTGTATTACATACAGTTAATAGATAATATGTACAGAATATATACAGAAATAAACAAAAATCATTTTAGAAATGTATTTTCAAAAGAGGGCTATCAGCTAGGCAAGTTCCAAAATGATCCTAAGAAGTAGAGCCAAAAAGTGATACTCGATTTGGTATTTTCTCTCATATATATATTCGAATATATAACTATGTACACCTGCATATTACATATGTGACAAATGTGACCAATGAACCGATAGTGCGAGATCGACACGAAATTGCCAACGCGAATTTTGGAATGGCCCCAGACTTAAAACATATCTATGTTATTACAATTAAAAAAACATTTAAAGTTGGCAACGTGTATTAGTAAGTAGTAAAGATGTTGCGAAGATAGATACCATTTTTCAACATTAAACGTACGTACTACGTAGCATTGATGTTTATATCGATACCAAACATGTTATTATAATTATTACCGTATCGATTGTTCTGACTTACCGGCACATCACAATATATATATTAATGTGGGTCGCTATTCGAACGGTCACCGCTGCTCTACCTAGAAGCATCTATGTATATTATTCCGTTTCCATGATTCCCACCACACCGCTGTAACCGAACATTGCCGACAACCTCAGCCGGACCTTGGCTCTTACCGTTGCAACTAGTACCTTAACTACTACACGGAGTGTTACACGGCAATCTCGGTTCGTTTCTTAGCGCACACTTCCGCAACGTGTTCACTTGCCACGGTCACTAACAACGGCTACACAGCAGTATAATGTACCATAGTACATGCAATGTACTAATATACCTTCTCATCTGTCGGACCCTTTCGTAAGTAGGAAAATTACATTAGTTGATTAACCGCCTTATTATGCAGTAATTATAGCAGAAGTACAATGACTATCACTCGGTCACTCGTTCGTTTATTTACCGGCTCGGTTTTCGCACAAAACGCATCATATCGTGTGTAATCGATTTCGACATCGTTAATAACCTGATCCGACGATCGATACAATATTTCCATCCAACCGGTGGCCTAGTATAGTCTAAGTATGTTCGTAGCGACCGTCGTTCTGCTGCTGACCGTGGTGGCCACTACGACAAGTCTCTCCAAACACCCTTTGGTTCTGGTAGTGTCGTTCGACGGTTTTCGGCCGGACTACGTGAGTGACAAATGGACTCCGAACTTGGCAAAGCTCAAAGCGACCGGAGCTGTGCCTCCTTATATGCGCAACGTTTTCCCCACCAAGACGTTTGTCAACCACTTCAGCATGGCCACCGGTCTATACCCAGAGGTCCACGGCGTCCTCGACAATTACATGTACGACGAAGAGTACCAATTGATGCATAACACCTACAAGCAATTTCACTACAACGACCGTGTTATTCCAATCTGGGTAACAATGTCTTAAAATTATAACATTAAATACATAAGTGTTTTTTACAATGTTATGTAATATGCCATGTGAAGGGCACAGGGGAAAACGGTAGTAGTCACATTATGAAAATTTTAGAGTATTACATAAGAACAAAAAAAAAAAAACACATTAAATGCTATTCTCATAAAAAATGTATTTATTTAAACATTCTATGGATATAAATAAAAAAATTATTGGCATATATTGAAAAAAAAATTTCATAATTGGACTTGTAATTGTTCTTCTCCTGCGCCCTTCATATACTTTACGTAGAACACATCCGTGTATTTTAACAGTTATAAACTTAAAAATACGTTTATAGTTTAATGAGAATCATTCGTTGTGAAATTATGTTGGTGTCTTGTGTGTGTAGGATATATAAATGTATAGGAAAACCGGAGAAGGAACGGGTGGATATAAAAAATAAAGATATGAAAATGTGTACATTAAATAAAGAAATGGATAGAGATTTGCAGAGAGAGCGAATTTAGCTGGCTATCCCGACTTGTATTAGAAAAAGTGAAGAGTGATTTGTGGGTATTAAGTATATTTGGTACTAAATTGCCAATATAGATTCCGTAATATGCCAATAATTATATTATGTTACATTTGTTGTTTTGTTTTGGTGAATAATTAAAACTTTAGTAGAATTTAATCTAAAGTTTTAGTTTAGTTAATTTAGATTTACATTTTTAGCGTAGTAAAATGTAATATTATTGATATATAATACTTACATTTTATGATCTTTCAAACCTTACAAACATATTCCCAACGATTTAATAGAAACAATTAATTACGAAGGATGCATCTAAATAGATTAAAAAATACTCAACATTTATAAACTTTAAATATATTTTATTTTTTTAAATGTTTCATACAATAAACGTAGAGATTTTATTTTTAGCTTCTGAGTTCAAAAATACGATTAAAATTAAACAAAAAGTAAATTACTAATAAAAATCCTTAAATCATCTTCAATCGACACACTTAGTGGTGATAGAATCATTATACCTATTATGGTAGCAAATTCAGATTTATTATAATTAGAAGTAGTTCGTGTACTACGTAGCAGTTTATAGTACAATTCAACATCGATTTAACTCAGTATTCGTCTCTATTCAATACAAATATATTTCATGTGTAATATAGGAAAAAACAATTGCTTAATTCATATTTATGGTTTAACGTTAAAATCACCCCATTTAACTTGTATTTAAAGTAAAGGTCACATTTTACTTAATAGTGCTGGGAGGTCATTAATTATTCTTTAGTGTTGATTCTCATTTCAGAACAGAAATATACATACATAACTCAATTTATTTTGAAAACAAAAATATAGAATCGGCCTTTTTTCTTCATAAATATGATTTTAAGCTATAACAATTAAAAAATGTTAATCCATTTAGTAGTTATTTTGGTAAGTGGCTTCGTGTGTTACTCATTATTTGTATGAAACTATGTCCTTTTCGTTCATATTGAAAAGTCGTTTTATTTTAATCCAATTAATCCAACAGTACCTATTTACTTTATGATTATTGCTGATTATAACAGTGATGCATTTATCATGTCTACTGCACACGTGTAGTGATTACAAAATTTCAATCAAGTCTCAATGAACAATTTTTAAAATAAATATTTAATAATTTTATCGCTTTTGATCATTTTTTTTTTCAAAACTAGAATTCTGTTCATTCGCATTTTACATAACCCCCAACGCAGCACTTCAGATAACCTATACTAATCACAAAGCTAGAATTCAAAAGGTTACAATTACCAAAACAATTTTTTTTTTCTTTTTTATTATTTATATTACACAATCTATACAATTTTTATGAACAACAAGCGTAAATAATAAAGTAGACAAATATAATTTTGCTTGATTGCTACTTGCTTGATTGGAGAAAACACCCAGTGGTGGTACTCCGACGTGTATGGTTAGTTGCTCCATAAATACATTAGGATCTTAGGAAATCTCTCGGTCAGTTTCGCTTAAGTCTTCTTGTAGGATTTCCAGGGATATTGGGAGAGGATAGATTGGAAATTAGTGGGTTGGTATGATTGAGGAGGCTTCTGTTGAATCTTTTATAGTGTTGTTTTGCCACTTCATTCACCAGGGCCACATGTAAATCTTTATGTAGTGAATCGTTGGATATATATGGAGGGGACAGCGTTGGTGGTGAGCCTCAGGGCTTTTAATTGGAAAATTTATAATTTTTTTTTTGAAAACATTTTAATACAATAATATAGACTAATGTAAAAATATTATACAACTATATAACTTGATAACTCAATAAAACTATAATAAGTATTGCCATCTACATTTTTTAGTATTATAGCTTAGGGTGGAGCTGAGAAAGTATTGTTTTTACAATGATCTGTTATATTTTTTTGTGTCTGAACCCACGGATATCAATTAAACCGCTTAAACGATTTCTTCATGTAGCAATTTTATAGATCAGAAATCTGAAATCGTATTTGAAGGGTACTTTTTGGGAATAAAAATTAAAAAAGGTCACACCTTCGGTCCTTCCCCTTCAAAATAAAGAAAAACACACGAAACATTTTCATATTTTTGAAAAATTCTGTGCTCTATAACGTTTTTAAAAACAGTCGAATTAGTTTAAATTTGCATGGAATATTCTTTAAACATACTATCACTGCCGATAAACGTTGACAAACGGAAAATATATTTTATATAACTTTTTCTATATTTCTTAAGCCAAGTTTTAGGACTTAAGATCTGAAAGTTAGGCTGAAGGTGGATCTAATGTAGGGTTATAACATTTCAAATTTTCTTAAAATTTTGTAGTCAACATTTTTTTTTTTAATAAGGAGGAACCAAAATTGAGGTAAACATTTCACTATGACCGTTATACATTTCTAGGTAGCTATGTGTAAGAATATCAACGTTTAACAGGTATTTGAAAATATTTGCACTATATTATTAAATACGATGTATAACAACGGTAAAAAATTATTATAGACTGACAATCAAGTCTTTACCCTAGTCCCTAATCGTATACTCCCTAATAATCAGAATATAATTTAAAGTACATTACACCTAGCTTATACAATGCGTTTATTGATTTTTGTAATGATACCAACAATCTTTTTTTTTCATCTGCATGTGCATCTTAGAATAACCGGGAGGGAACTATCCAATGGATATTACTTCCTCCTGGCCTCCGATGCCGTTTATTAAAAAAATAATACAATTATTACTTATTTGGTAAACCTTAAATTTCATAGTAAAATTGTTGACCAAAACCTTTTATATAAGAGTTTTGTGTCCTCTAAATCTAAATATCTACTCTAAACGTATATGGCTCATTATTGAAAATATTATATTGCGTATACTTCTAATTTTGCTAGCCTTTGTTAGTCATTTTTAGAAAACCAATTATTTATGAGACACGAATTTATAACAACGGTTAAACTAATTCACCGCCTCCTTTCACAGTTTAGTAGTTATTTGTATTTATAGTTATATTTAGGTATTTATATTAAATACCTAAGCTTGAAAATATTCCGATAAAATTCAACATATGAAAAACCATTAAAAATCAATTATTCATAATTTCGTTTAAAATAACTGTTAATACAATCAGTATAATATTCAATGTATTATTCTACATTAACTTGATTAAAAATTTAAGACACGAAAAAAAATAAAGATAATTTCAAGTACACAATCAAATGTATTATCCTAGACATGTTTTTAATACTCAAAACATACTTTTAAAAGCGTTACAAGAAAAGTCCATTAAACTTGATTGTTTTGATAAGAAATTACAATGAAAAAACTTGAAAACGATGGGTATGAATATCAAATTGCTTTGAGTTATGCATTTACCTTAAGCTGCACTGTAAGGTTTATATCAATTATTTGTATATTGGTAAAAACAAAAAATTAATTACGTACCATTTATTTCAATAATGATATTGGTTTTTTAATCAATCAAAATGTGTTTACTTATAACTGATTATTGTTTTAATGTAAATAAATGTAAATGTTGTTTAGCCATTGGAAGTCATCACTATATGTAAATTTACAGCCAACAGTTATTATTGATATCAAAGGCAAGATTATTAAAACTAATGAAGTAGTACAAAACAAAAACACGAAAATGACCATTTCGTTAAAATTTTTAAAATTCTAAGCAATTACGTTGAATTGGGTCAACCAATGCTCATTAAACAATTAACTGACATCAAACCGTAGACGTTGCATTATATATTTTATAACACGTTTAATAACATTCAAATCGTATTTAACAAGTCACTTCTTGTACTGCACTATTTTTTGCAATCAACGCTAGTAGAAAGTCAGAAAATTATAAAACTTTCCGAGGCCTGTCTTTCAGAAGAAAATACTTTTTTTATCCAAAAAAAAAATGTACTGTAGAACGTTCTGTGTTTGATGTTTTATCCCTCGAGGCTTTAAGTTTGCCACCGTTAGACTAATTTTTTGACGACGATAATATTGGTCGAGTCGAATATAGAATATAAAACTATATTCGTCAAATTTAGAAATTAAATTTAACAGCATACATTTTGGTATTAGACGGAAAACGAATTCAACGGCGACGGACGACACAGCGGTGTAATGATGTGGATCGCTTCAGAATTCGCTTACCAGGGAAAAATGCCTACCCACATCGCCATGTACAACAGGTATTATTGTCTCTTAATATAATATGAATTGTAAAACAAATAACAAATTTGTTTGAAATAACAACACACGCCGTTACTGACAGCACAATGCCATGGACGTCCAGATTGGACCAAATACTTTCTTGGTTTAAAGACGATAAGAAACCCGCCAATTTGGTTTATGCGTACTTCGAACAACCCGATAAAGAGGGTCACATTTCCGGTATACATTCGCCCGAAATCAAAGAACAAATTGTTAGAGTAGACGCGACGGTGAAGTGAGTCAAATGCAATATACTTATTTTATTGCACTCAACAGCACAAACAATTTATTTTAGGTCTTCTCTCGTGTAAATTAAATATAATGCGGGCACAAGCGTTGTTGTTAAAGTCTTACGTGCTGATTTTGTGCGAAACGAAAAAGTAATAACGTTAACCGTTAAATGTGTGCGTCATATTTTAATGATACACAGTCAATGCATGTTCAACACTTCTTTGTACTTATAGCGTGGTTCACTATTGTTTTAGGTATTTAATTGATCTCATAAAAAAAGAAGGACTGGAAACGAAAATCAACCTAATAATTGTCAGCGACCACGGAATGGAATCAGTTGCTTACGACCACTTGATCTATTTGAATAAGTACGTAGACACAACGACTTTCACCAACATCTCGACTGGACCGAACATGTTCATTCACCCGAACCCTAGTAAATTACATCTTTTCAACAAACAAAATAAGAAAAAACCCACTTATGTCAAATTTTGTTGTTTAGATAAATTCCTGGAAGTTTACAAAAACCTGACTGAGATGGCTAATGCTACAGGACAGTTTCATGTTTACACAAAAGAAAATGTATTGACCAGGTGGCACATGAACAACTCGGCCAGACTTGAAGGACTAATTTACTTATTGGCCGAACCAAAATATGCTTTTTCGGATACATACATTGAAAATAACTTCAAAGGAAGAGGTTAGTATAGTCAAAATGGAATGTAATAAAATGAGACTAACCAATTTATAAATAATTATCTATATTGTAGATATCTTATATAGTTATGTGTTTCACATTTTAATTATCTACAAAAAATAGCTAAAACTTAGGACTAGATTATAAATAATTTCATTATAGTTTTTGTATGCGTGTGCGCGGTGTGACGCGTTTTAGTTTCCGTACAGTATCGTTCTCTCGTGAAACAAAGTATAATTGCTTTTTTCAGTTACAAATAAATAACTATTATTAATTACACATTTTTTACCAACTAATAGTGAGGGTATTAAGTATCTAAAATGTATTGGTCTCGTAAAACAGATAAGTTCACCATGCTACTAATTGTGAGATCATATTTTGAAGTTAATAAATGTTATATTTAATATTACTTCTACTCATTTTTTATTTTATTCAACTATCATGTCCTTTTAAGAATAAATGCAAATTTTGTTCATGTTTAGATATATCCAAAGCCGAAGTAGGAGTCCACGGATACGACAATCAAGAATCTTCGATGCATGCCTTTTTTATGGCCCAAGGACCAGCGTTTAAGAAAAATTTTACAGCGACCCCTTTCGATAACGTCGACTTGTTCCCGCTTGTCGCTCACATATTAAACATTAAACAGTTGAGCAATCACGTACCGACCAACGGTACAATTACTAATGTCCAACAGTTATTGTCAGGCAGCCAAGGTGTATCTATATTGTTTTACAATTCAGGTACACTAATTACCGCTGCTATGTTTATACATGGCGTCGTTCAAAGCTTTTAAAAAGGATACAATTTGAAAGCATTTGAAAACGCCACCAATGTCGTGGAGTTCTGTTATCCACGACTGTGAATGCAATACCTTCACACTCTCAACATAATTTAATATTATGTGCGAGCACCTATTTCCTGCACACTATTCATTGAAGTTACCACGTAATATTACTATAAATATAATGTACACGTTTTATATTTCAACGTAATTAATACCCACATTTATTGAATCTTAAAAGTTCTTGTTTTACCTACCATATGTTTGATCTTTTCACAATTAATTTACAATATCGTAACTTATTGTCACATAAGACCGTTCTTAAATGGTAACTTTTTTTTTCAGTTTAAAATATTATAATAAAGAATTTTGTTATTAAAATTAGTTTTTCCAACGTAAAAAAGTTATTTTTTGCTTTTAAAGCTTTGACATATTTAGATTATATTACATTAAATTATACATTATTGTTATTGTATAGCTTATATGAATAATATAGACGACTATAATAATAACGGATTTTTGTAGACATTTTCAGTTAAAAAGAAAACTCAAAACACTAGTATTTTAAAATATATTTTGAATATTAAAATTAATTTTCCACTTACTATTGTGTTAATACATTTTACTGTTTGACGTTTTAAGAGGACGCCAACTTCTGGTCTTGAGAGAACGTGATACCCTTATTTATTAAGGAGTTAGGTATAGGCAATTTTTTGTAAAATGTTAATTGAAACCTTTTACTGAAATGTGTAGTTATTAGTTTAGCAAATAGAACTTTTTTTTGGTAGTTAAATATTTGTTCGTACTATCACAGCCGGGGTTTTAAATACTTTTAGCTTTAATTCAAAGCAGTTATGTGATTGGTTTTACAATGATATAGGTATTTTTGACATCTAAACATAATTACACAGAATGTAATTTATTTAGTCCATGGTTGTTTTAAACCAAAAACTTCTAGAATAAAATCGAAATTTTAAAGGAATATTGTATCATTTTTTAAAATATGTCTTAAACAAAAGTTATTACCATTTTTATTTAAATGGACATTTTTTTTAACATCAAAGTAGATTACTTGAAATATCGAAAAACAAATATGACAGTGCTCCAAAATGTCATCATCTTTCGATTTTATAATTTATGTTTTTGCTTTAAAACCATCATGAACCGAGTGAAACGCATTCTGTTTTCTATGTTTGATGAAATAAATATTTGAAAATACTGTCAATGTTTCTGTTTCAGTCAGACAAAAAAATGTATTATTAAAAAAAAACCATAATTACTAAACCAATACCACTATACAGTTAAAGATTTAAATGAAGATTTAGTAAAATTTCTTATATTAAACTCCTTAATAAATACGGGAGCTGGGAGGATAACCACTTAATATGAAATAAGAAAGTCATCCAATATCACCATACTATTTTACTATAAAATTCAAGTCTTATAAAAATGTGATAATAAACAGGCACAATATAGTAAATTATCACCCAATACAATTATATTATTCTTAAAAGTGATGCTATCTAAATTTTTTGAATCAAAAATGTTTTACAGGAAAATGATATGTGGTTAATAAAGAAATCACTAAAACAACAGACTTAAGGAAACATTGACGGTTACTAATTACTATAAGTAAGAAATACAATTATGCAATTATATGTATTAAGTTTTTATACTAAAGATGACCTATGGCAAATAAATGACATAATAAAATAATATTGACATTTGAATAAAGATTTTATTTATTTGAACACTTATACATGTCATTATGAAAATAAATATTTTATAATTAGAAGTCATTCCATATGTAATAAAATCTAGTATCCTTTTCAGTGGTGTGGTAAAGAGATTTTTAAGAGGCTGTGGCCAATTAATGAACCAGTATAATGTTTTTTTAAGACAATTATTCAAATTTGGCGTCCTCTTAACGGAAAACAATCAAAGCCGAACACACATCACTTTTGCATGCAAATTGCATAATAAAATAGATTGAAGGTAGAATTATCGCCTGGTGACGTTACTTCATATTGTGTGAAAATGCGATCAAAAATGGAGTACCATTACCTATATTACTTTTTTATATTATCTTCGGTCGTCAAAAAGTCTCAATTTCACACAATATGAAGTAACGTCGCCAGCCAATAATTCTACCTTTAAAATTAGAGAAATATTTTATCAGTATTTGGAGCCGAATGACGGCCATCCAACGCCATGTCAAATATCAGGACCACCCTAATATATATATTATATGTACAATGTTCTTGAGCAATGACCGATAATGCCGTTAAACGAAATTGTCTACACGAATTTTGGTATAGACCTAAACCATATCTATGTTATTACAATTAAATGTAAAGTTGGTAACGTATACTAGGAAAAATGTCGCAAAGATAGATACCGATTTCAACAATAAACACACGTAGCATTGATAGATAATCGATACCAAACCAATGTTATTATAATTATTATCGTATCGATTGTTCTGACTTACCGGCACAGCAAAGTATATATATTATTATGTTGCGTTACTCGTACGGTCATCACTGCTCTACCTAGAAACATCTATGTATATTAGAGCGAAAACTGGCCAGTGACCGACGCGACTCTAGCGGCAGTTTCCCGTCAGTGGTTATCATAATGGTGGAAATAAATGGCAGGCGGGTGGCGGTCGGAAAACTGTTCAGTTTAAGAACCCATGCGTCACGGGCGGGATGTGGTGCGGGGGTGGCAGCGCTTACGGGCCAGTTTTCGTGTCGCCGACTATAATACCTTAATTAGGCACTGATCGTTAAGTGCGAACGCGTGAAATATAACACAACCTATCTTGATCGTTTCTAGAATAGCTGACTTATCGACTCATCTGCCGATCCCTTTCGTAAGTCGAAAAATTACATTTGTTACTTGTTTTTAATATGCAGTTATTATAGCGGCCGTTCGTTTATTTACCGGCTCGGTTTTTGTTAATAATCTGAAACCGACACAATTTATCCATCAAACCGGATAACAGGTGGCCTAGTATAGTCTAAGTATGTTCGTAGCGACCGTTATTTTTGTACTGACCGTAGTTGCCACTACGACAAGTCTCTCCAAACACCCTTTGGTTCTGTTAATGTCGTTCGACGGTTTACGGCCGGACTACGTGAGCGAAAATTTGACTCCGAACTTGGCAAAGTTTAGAGCGACCGGAGCTGTGCCACCTTATATGCGCAACGTTTTCCCCACCAAGACGTTCGTCAACCACTTCAGCATAGCCACCGGTCTATACCCAGAGGTCCACGGCGTCCTCGACAACCACATGTACGACGAAGAGTACCACTTGATGCATAACACCTACGAGCAATTTCACTACAACGACCGAGTTGTTCCGATCTGGGTAACAATGGCTTAAAATCATAACATTAGCTACATAGTATGTGTTTAAAAAAAAAATATTTAATATTTACATGTATTATACGTAGAGCCCATCTGCGTGTTTTTACAGTTCTGAACTCACATATACATTTATAGTTTTATGAAATTCGTTCGTCGTGAAATTATGTTGTTGGCTTATGTATGTAGGGTATACAAATCGCAGGCTTTGAAACTAAGGGTTCCATATCGACTTAACACAATTTTTAGAAGAGCATTTTTAAGGTTTGATTAAATTTATTTCATACTTTTACCGAATCGATTTTATGTAATCAAATCCAGAATGTCATAATGTACAATGAGCTATTCATTTTTGTCAATAAAACTATAACTAAAGTTATGAAAAATAAAAAACCAAGAAGTTTCTGTTGAGAAACAAAAAGGTTATCGGGGCCGAACTTTCTGTTAGTGACATTTTAAGATATACAATGTTTAGAACATTTTGATGTAATTCAAATAGTGTTTGTACAATAAATAGAATGTTTGGACTACAAACTTACAAGATAAATGTTTGATATGCGGAAGCCAACAAACCATAATCAAATATTTGCGTTTAATACAAAACTCATACGCCATGAGATACTGACCTAATTTTTATCAAAATTATTTATCGTTATGATACAGTAGCGTAACAAGAAAAGTACTTTAGACTTAATTATTTTTTTTTGAAGAAATTACAATGAAACTAATGAAGTAGTACAAAACAAAAACACGAAAATGACGATTTCGTTTTAATTTTTAAAGTTCTAAGTTCAGTTACGTTGAATTGGATCATTAACTGTAATAATTATTAGACCGATCAAATAGTAATTTAACAGGGTCAACCAATGCTCATTAAACAATTAACTGACATCAAACCGTAGACGTTGCATTATATATTTAACAACAATTCAACGTGTTAATACACGTTAAATGACATTCAAATCGTATTTAACAAGTCACTTCTTGTATTGCATTATTTTTTGCAATCAACGCGAGTAGAAAGTTAGAAAATTATAAAAATGTCCGAGTCTTGTCTTTCAAAAGAAAATACTTTTTTTATCCAAAAAAAAAATGTACTGTAGAACGTTCTGTGTTTGGTGTTTTATGCCTCGAGGCTTTAAGTTTGCCGCCGTTAGACTAATTTTTTGACGACGATAATATTGGTCGAGTCGAATATAGAATATAAAACTATACTCGTCAAATTTGGAAATTAAATTTAACAGCATACATTTTGGTATTAGACGGAAAACGAATTCAACGGCGACGGACGACACAGCGGTGTAATGATGTGGATCGCTTCGGAATTCGCTTACCAGGGAAAAATGCCTACCCACATCGCCATGTACAACAGGTATTATTGTCTCTCAATATAATATGAATTGTAAAACAAATGGCAAATTTGTTTGAAATAACAACACACGCCGTTGCTGACAGGACAATGTCATGGACGTCCAGATTAGACCAAATGCTTTCTTGGTTTAAAGACGATAAGAAACCCGCCAATTTGGTTTATGCGTACTTTGAACAACCCGATAAAGTGGGTCACATTTTCGGTATACATTCGCCCGAAATTAAAGAACAAACTGTTAGAGTAGACGCGACGGTCAAGTAAGTCAAATGCAGTATTACTTATACCCTACAGCGCGAACAATTAGTTATAAGTCCCGTGTAAATTAAACATGTTTCGGTGCACATGTATTGTTGTGAAAGTTTATAAAATTACTATTACTATTTCTACGATATAACTATTTTGTGAAACAAAAAAAGTAGGGCCGGATTTAGGAGAGGAGCACGGGGCCCCCACAAAGTTAAATTAATGAGAGACTTCCACACAAGTATGTTCATTATTTAGGATTATGTTTCGGTGCAAATTTTTAAAATTAATTTTTGGAATAATTTAATAATATTATCGACATTTTTTGTTCTGTGTTTATCAAGTCGAATGTGATTTCGGTATTCGGGTCCTACTGAAAGTTAGACAAGGTTAATGATGGAACCGTAATATTATAGTGCGATAAATTTAGTATACTCACATGAACTTTGTTCTCTGAAAAATTCGATACCGATTTGCTGTCCAAACGTGTTCGTCTAGTTTTTGTCTATTAATTAAATTGTCAGTATTATGCAAATCATAGTTAACTATAATATCGGAAAAACGTAAGTACACGTGCAGGAATAATAATTGAAGATTGTGGTAAAGCTGGTTTATTAGATAAAATAATTTGCTGATTTCCTAAATTTGAAGTACGTTATGATCGCAGTAGTAAAAAACTTATCTTGAGTAACCTCTAACGATTTTTCACTTAAATTGCATAATGTTGCGTCTAAAACATCAGGTTTATGAGTTTTATCTATATTATGTTAGAAAATAAAATGACACCATTTTTCAAACAAATTTAAATACTGATTATAACGCCCACTACCTAAATTCTGGCAAACGTTTTAATGCATCTCCAAAAATAGTTTACTCATTGTTAATAATTCAAATTCAGGTAATAAATTGCCCAAATGATTTAAATAAGTTTATTTTTGAGAACCTCCGATAATAAAATTAACAAATGAGTGTAAATACTGAAGGGTCTGAACTGTGTTCGACAAAAAATAAAGAAGTAGTTTTTATAAAAAAAAAATTGATAACGCAAGGAAAAATTGATTACAATAAGGACTACACCAAAAAATGGATCCACTGTTATAACGGATAAAAAAATTGTTTAATAAGCATAAAGCAAAAGTATTAAGTTTTGAACCAATAATTATCGGTACTGTTGACAAAAAAGAAATTTAAGAAAAATAAACCCAAAATAAAATATATTACCACATCGTCAAGTGTCGCCCTGCGAATTAGTTAAGAAGTGTGTCATTGACCGATGCGATGGGGTTGAAGTTGAATTGGAAGATTTTCTTGATTTAAATTTAATTGGCTCGCCGTGGATTACTTGCTCTGTGATATGACGTTGACTAACCGCTTGTCGAAGTTGGGTTAATTTGAATTTGATGTAAAGTTTAAAAATTGACCAAAATTTAACGAATTTAAATTTGAGATGCCGTTAATCTCAAAAAAAAATATTAGATGTGAAACAATGTTGAAGTTGACGTTGAAAAAGTAGAAGTAGTATACAAGGCAATTTGTATTTTTTACCGGTATTATTTAATAGTAGAACACCAACAAAAATAAAATACTTAACGTTAGGTATGTTCTTGAATAGTTTCCCTAAAATGTAACCAGGTAAAAACTTGATCCGCTGCCATCAATGGTTACCCAAGCTGTGGAAAAAACCGCTACATGTAGGTAAAAAATATAACAACGCTTAGTTAAAAGACTATAGCAACTGCGCTCAACAAACACTGTCCCCATTGCCTTACTCAAGTTCCGTATTTATGCGAGACTTACAATATAAATATAGTAATTTACAGTACAATAATAGATACATGCGCATTACACAAACATCCAACATCCAACCCAGCATCACATATTACACGATGTTATTCTACACACTACATCGTATAAAAATAATATAATATAAAATAATAGTATGAACTTTGGGTTTATTACAAGCACAGAATAGATAAAAGTAGAAGGGTTACTTTCAACGTAAACAAAAAAGTGACGACCATTTTGTTAAGACCTATTTAGTATTGTGTTATACCTATAGACAACTAAAAATAACAATGTATATATATATATATATATATATATATATACATTGTTATTTTTAGAAATATATATATATATAAGTATGTATTACTATAGTAGTATAGCTTTAAGAAGATGGCCACCGCGTGATAAGTATCTTCGTCGTGTTAATTTGTATCAGTGTCCGGAGACTGTTATAACCCTGAATCCGGCCCTGTGAAAGAGTAATACCATTAACCGTTAAATGTGTGCGTCATATTTTAATGATACACAGTCAATGCATGTTCAACACTTCTTTGTACTTATAGCGTGGTTCACTATTGTTTTAGGTATTTAATTGATCTCATAAAAAAAGAAGGACTGGAAACGAAAATCAACTTAATAATTGTCAGCGACCACGGAATGGAATCAGTTGCTTACGACCACTTGATCTATTTGAATAAGTACGTAGACACAACGACTTTCACCAACATCTCGACTGGACCGAACATGTTCATTCACCCGAACCCTAGTAAATTACATCTTTTCAACAAACAAAATAAGAAAAAACCCACTTATGTCAAATTTTGTTGTTTAGATAAATTCCTGGAAGTTTACAAAAACCTGACTGAGATGGCTAATGCTACAGGACAGTTTCATGTTTACACAAAAGAAAATGTATTGACCAGGTGGCACATGAACAACTCGGCCAGACTTGAAGGACTAATTTACTTATTGGCCGAACCAAAATATGCTTTTTCGGATACATACATTGAAAATAACTTTAAAGGAAGAGGTTAGTATAGTCAAAATGGAATGTAACAAAATGAGACTAACCCATTTATAAATATTATCATCTTTAAATATAATATAAATATAATCATCTATATATTAGATAAGTAATTTATGAAGTTTGGTGTTCCACATTTTAATTATCCATCATATATACAAAAAGTAGTTAACATTTAAGACTAGATTTTAAATAATTTCACAAGTGTAACGAGTATTACAATTCTATCCCTCGTCACAGTTTACCATCCGCCTGTCTATACATTATTGGGAGGGTACTTCTGTTGACGGCCGGAAAACTTCGCACAGTTATTGTTCTTTTTTATAGCACCGCTTATATCTATATTTTAAAATCAATGGTATTACGTCGTGGGTATTCTGTATTATAATCGTTATTATCAATTATCACATCATATTATGATAATGCCACTTACCACTGATATGACTATAATAGAATCTGGTAACTAGTTAAACGAATCACAAGTTGTATTTACTTAACAGCGGTCTTTTTTACCAAATTTTTTAGTTAGATCACAAAATTTAAGTAGTTTTAACTAAAAGTTTATATATGAATAATCTTCTTTCATGGGTACAATATTACAAAATCTCGTTGTCGCGGAAGCGACCATACTCTGACTCACGAGAGAAGCGTTCTCTCGTGAAACAAAGTATAATTGCTTTTTTCAGATACAAAATAAACGTTTAACAATGAAGCCATGATGAATATTAATTATACATTGCTTACAAACTAATAGTGTGGGTATTAAGTATCTAAAATGTATTGGTCTCGTAAGACAGATAAGTTCACCATGCTACTAATTGTGAGATCATATTTTGAAGTTAATAAATGTTATATTTAATATTACTTCTACTCATTTTTTATTTTATTCAACTATCATGTCCTTTTAAGAATAAATGCAAATTTTGTTCATGTTTAGATATATCCAAAGCCGAAGTAGGAGTCCACGGATACGACAATCAAGAATCTTCGATGCATGCCTTTTTTATGGCCCAAGGACCAGCGTTTAAGAAAAATTTTACAGCGACCCCTTTCGATAACGTCGACTTGTTCCCGCTTGTCGCTCACATATTAAACATAAAACAGTTGAGCAACCACGTACCGACCAACGGTACAATTACTAATGTCCAACCGTTATTGTCAGGCAGCCAGGATGTATCTATATTGCTTTACAATTTAGGTACACTAGTTACCGCTGCTATGTTTGTACATGGCGTCGTTCGAAGCTTTTAAAAAGGACACAATTTCAAAGCACTTGAAAACGGCACCAATATCCAATGCCATGGAGATCTTCTATTACCCACGACTGTTTATCAATACCTTCATATCTCAACATTTTGATTGAAACTTTTTTTTTTTTTTTCTTTATTAATAATACAAAACAATCTATACAATATATATGTACAATAAGTTTTTTTTTTTTTGTTTTTTTATCTATATTACAAGGCTTGTATATCGTGAGGAGGAAGCCACCCATTGGTAACACCTCTAGATTGAAACTTAAAAATTGTTGTTTTACCTACCATTATGTTTGACCATTTTACAATTAGTTTACAATACCGTAACTTTTTGTCACAAAAGAATGTTCTGATAATATTTTTTCAATAGTTAAATATCATAATAGAGTAATTTGTTATTTAATTTATTTATTTTTTAATGTAAAAAAGTATTTTTTTGCTTTTGTATAGCTTATATGAATATTATAGACGATTATTAGAATAATGGATGTTTTGTAGACATTTTCGGTTAAAAAGAAAACTCAAAACACTAATATTTAAAAATTTATTTTGAATATAAACATTTATTTTCCAATTACTGTTGTATAATACATTTTCCTGTTTGACCTTTTAAAAGGACGGTAACTTTCATACGATGACGTCATATCCCCTAATTATTAAGGAGTTAGGTATAGGCAATTTTTTTTATTATCTTAATTTAAAACTTAAACTGTAGTTAGTAATTAGAACTTTTTTTTGGTTTTTAATTATTAATTTTGTGTACTATCACAGTATCCTTTACACTTAGTTGAACAGAATACGTTTTATTCCATGGTTGTTTTAAAGCAAATACACATATTGTTAAATCGAAAGATAATAATCATATTTTGGAGATAGTGTCATAACCGATTTTAAAAAAGTAAAAAAATGTGACTGTAAATGATAAAAATTAAGCTAAATATTAGGTTTATAAAATAATGGATAAGTCATTGTCTCCAAAATGTTGATATCATTCGATTTTGTGATAGTTGTTTTTGCTCTAAATGAACTATTGACTTAGTAAAATGCATTCTGCTTAAGTATGTTTTAATGATGGAACATTGGGTTTATAACGGCCAATTTATACAACTCATTCGATGATGGTGTTATTGCAAAAACACCTATTATGAAACTAAAAGAGGATGACATTGTAGAGGGAAATTTTTTTTTTAAATGCCATAAACAAAATGTATCACTGTTATTTATTAAAATATATACGGGCATACACCCTTGATTACAGAAATTATAATAGACAATTAAACAGAATTATAAATAAGAATGAACATTTAGCCAATAATTACTCAATATAAACAACATTAAGTAAACATAACTATATTGCTTAATATTTACAATTTATGATTTGAAAATAGAGCTTGAAAAAGAAGGACCACTTTAGCGGAACCCATCATCCGCCTAGTTGGCTATTTAAGCATATAATTGGTGGTGGAATGAGGAACATAAAAAGGAGCAGAAAACCGGGAATAACGTTGAGAAACCTTAAAACATTAAAGGGAGATAAGGACGGAGAAATCTATTTTATTACTTAACAGACTATTTAAGAATGAAATACCCATTGAACGCCTACGCTCAGCCAGGGATGACAGGCTAAGAACGTCTACTACCAGGTCATAGTTGTGCGACTCACTTGGAATGTGTAGCAAATGGCTTGCAAACCGTAAAAACTTTCTCTGAACCCTTTCAAGCTGCATAGAATCAGCAGCAATATGAGGATCCCAAACAACCACACCATATTCCATAATCGGTCGAATAAGCGTATAAAAAAGTGACTTGTTAGACATTCCTAGCCGAAAATCATTGGCCAACCTCATTACAAACTTAAGGGTTTTAACAGCCTTTCAACTAACATTTTCAATATGTGGCCTAGAGTCAAGTTAGAAATCTACTATTAAGTTTAAAACCTTTATCTGAAGACGCAAGATAAGTGATTCTTCGAGGCGGTAGGTGAAAAGTATTAGAGAAAATATCTATTTTATACCTCATTAAGAAACTGGCCGTGGGTTAAGCAATAAAAATAAAAAATAGCGTGGCTCATGAAATTAGGAGTAAAGCAGTTAGACTAATCAAAAAGTAATTAAACACAAAATTATAAAAACAATGCCTTTTCTGCTCCGCATTGAAGCTAATATAACTTCTGTTTACTACTACATCATCGCAGAATACAAACAGAAACAAATTAAATATAAAACAGATTTGTTTGAAATATAAACATAAGAAAGAAGAGCTGGGCTTAAAAACCATTATAATACGTTTACATTTATAAAAAAATTACATAAATCTCAATCATACATCTTTAACACCATAACCAGAAAAAAATTATTTCTTATACTAATAATTATAATAATAATTCTGCGGTCAGAGAAAAAAACAGATAAGTCGAATTTCACAAAAATTTGGCTTATCTGCTAGAATTATTGTGGAATAAAACTGATAACATCTGACTTATTTATGAGCATTATAAGTCAGGTCATACTACTGAAACATAACATCGAATCCGACGTTAAGAAATTAGAACAACATTGAACCGTATTGATACCGTGTAATTATAGTAGAGGATTTAAAATTAAAATGATTGATTATATATATATAGTATATATTTTTTCATTATTTAAGAATATGAATATTTAAATTAATGGCATAATCAAATTAAATTTTGATAATAAACGAGATTTAATGGTAACTAATAAGTAATAACTTTCCTTGGCAACAAACAAAAATCATTATGTTAACATTAAAATCAAGAAAAATACTCAACCAATTCATCTATTTTTGAACTTTAAATATAGCGTACAATATTTTTTTAAAAACTGTCGAATTAGTTCCAAGTATGTATGTAATATTCTTTAAAAATAGTACTATCAATAGATACAGTACGTCGACAAACCAAAAAATATATAAAAACCTCTACCGAGAATTTTTTTTTAAATTTTTTTTTCGAGCGTGGTTTTGGGACTCTGAAAATTAGGCTAAATGTAGATTTAAAGTGTGGCTATAACAATTACACTATCTCAAAAATCTGTTGGTCAATTTTTTTTTTTGTTCAGTAGTTTCTACACTAGCATTTATTAAGGCGCATTGCATAGGCAATTTTTTAAACATATCTTAACATTAATAAACGTGATACTAGTGATGGGAAATATTCGAATATTTGAATATTCGAATATTCGAATAGTTTGGATTTGAATCTCAATAAGGATTCGAATCCTTCGAATATTCAAATAGTAATAATAATTAATTTACAAATAGTTTTTTTCTTAATAAATTTGTTTTATTGATGCCTATATATTTAAATATTATAATTTTATGATGATGTTTTTTGTTTTTCTGTTCAAGAAACACAATAAATATGAATTGATTTGTTCGATGACCATCTCTATTGATCCAAAATCATATTTAATTCGTACTCAGTATTGAGTAAAAAGTTCATATTATGTATAATAAACTTCTTTCCTGTCAAAACTGGGAAAACCCATAAACAAATACGCTAATTTTCCCTCTTTAAAATTCGACACGCATTACCTTTGTATAATACGAGTTATTTTTATGGAACATTTATTAGGCATTTCCTTATTCAAAAATATCCTTAAACGTATCTCCCTACCCACCAGGGTAAAAAAAAAATTGTATGTATAATACTTTTGCAGTACCCTCGCCAATTTACTTAAGTCACATATTAATTGAATGAAATTTAAAAACGCGATCAGATTGTATTGGATAGTTTATAAATTGTAATTCAAAATCCATCAAATACATACATATATTATATTTAATTTATTTAATATTCGATACAAAGTTCTCTAATTTTGTTTAATTTAGAACGACACTAATAATAATATGTTTAATTTAACATACATAATATAATTCATATCCTATAATGTATAGTAAATACAATTAGTGTAACGTTTGTGACAAACCTAGATATCAATCTAAAAAAAATAATACAAATAATTATGTGTACTTGTACTTTGTCCGAAAAATATACCTGTACCTAAGCCAACACAAATTAAACTTAATGATCGTGTGCTTAACTAAATAGTAATATTAATAACCGTTAAATAATATATAATAATAATATACAAGTCAATAACAATAAATCAATTCTGGAGTAAAATTATATTTCTAAATTTCTATTTTGGTATAAAAACACTAAAGCCGAAACATTAGCCGGGTCTAATCTGTTTCGTTTATTCGTTACAATACTGCCAGCAGCCGAAAACACTCTCTCCGAAGAAGCTGAGGATGCTGGTACAGCTAATATTTTTTTTGCCAATTTAGCAACTGTCGGGTAGTTATTTTCATATTCTTTCCACCAATTACAGGGATTTAAATTATAATGGATCTGAGGTTCAGACAAATACCGTGTGAATTCATCCACTGTTTCTTTTTTTTCAAATGATGACCCAAGTAAAGTATCTAAAGCCGTGTAAGTATTTGAATTGTTATCATTTTGATTTTGAGTATTGACCTCAGAGTACTGGACGTCTATTATAGACCGGACTTTATTTTTAATTATATTTTGTATAGAAACGCTTTCGAAGTTTAAATTTGTATAACGGGGATCTAATACACAAGCCATTTGTGCAATAGTTATTGAATAATTTGAGGTATAATCTGCGATACCGAATCTTACAGAGAGATCTTCTACCACTGCATTTTTAAAATGTGTGGCTAAGGCACTATCATTCTCGTTTACCACAAGATGCTTGGAAATTAGGCCATTTATTATTGGCCTTATCAATGATATTGTTACAGTTTTATCTGCACATAACACGGTTGTCGCTAAATGTAACGGTTTTAACAAATTGTATAGTTCATTACAATTATCCCAATCTTCTTCTATAAATTCTAGTTTTTGAGCTTGTTGCCATGTAAAGTATTTACGATCTGCCATTACTGATACGATTGCTGACCGAAGTTCTATAAGTCTTTCTAACATAAACATAGTCGAGTCCCATCTAGTGGGACAACTTTGTATCAAACTTAGTTTTTGTTTTCCTTGTTGCTCTAAAATATTTTCCAATTCGTATGTTCTTTTATAAGAATGCTTAAATGAACTAACAATAGCTGAGGCTCTTTTTACTATTGACGCGGATGTAGATATATCTAAACCTTTTTTTACGGATAATTGAATTGTATGAGCTGCACATGGATTACTCATTATGTGTCTTGAAGATAATAACTGGACTGCATTAGTTATATTAAGAGCATTGTCATGACTGACTCCTGAAACCTTATTTTCTAAACCCCAATCAGATATTAAAGTTTCAATTGATTCTGATAAATTTTCAGATGTATGACTTAGGGTAAGTTCAAAAGTTGAAATATTAAGGAGATGTAATTTCCATTTATCGTCTAAGTAATGGCCAGTGACAGTCATGTATGAATCTATACTTCCAGAGGTCCAGCAGTCTGTACTTTAGCCCACTGACTCGATTGACAACAGTTTAGCTTTAATTGAATCTAATTTCTCTGAATATAATGCTTGTATACGAGTTTGAATTGTTTTCCTACAGGATATCTTGTAATTCGGCTCAATGACATTAATTAATTTTTTTAAGCCCTCATGTTCAACAGTATTTATTGGCAATAAATCTACACATATCATATTACACATTGCCTGTGTAATTAGTTCACAACGGCTTTTCGATACGGGGCGTGTTATAGCAGATGCAGTGACATTAGATACGCGAGCTTTCTTATTTACATGATAATTAGACGTAGAAGTACTGGGATTACTAGGCGAAACTAAAATAGTAGACGATTCATTAGATGTAGTGACCTGTTCTTCAATTAATTCGCTATCGGAATCTAACAAATCGACACTGTCACATCGCCTGAAATGTATATTTTATATATTTGTTTAATGAGTACGGTTGATATGGACTAATCATACACTATTATGCTGTATGATAACATAGTTTTGTTGTAGAAAGGAATGAGTTTAAATGTCACTTTTTGTCAATATTGGTATAATTAATAACTAAACCTACTGGCGTGGTTCTGAATAGGTAAAACACAAAGTGGCAAAATATAGTGTGATTGGGTGCATTCATTATCAATCTATGGTTCCTAATACAGAAGCTAATATTTAAAAGTTTAGAATAAATTAAAAACCAATAATAACCGTCGTATTTTAAAACTATTATAATACTTTCTCGAAGTAGGAAAAGAGAAATATTACAACTTTACTTCTTACTACAAAAATTACAATTATTTACTTATAAGTTTTTATATCAAAACCAATTTTAAAACGCATACAAATTTAAAAGAAATATCCGTTTTTACTAAATTATATGGACAAGGTTGTGTGACCTATCCGTTTTTTATTAAGAAAACAAAAATTGTACCAACTTTCAAAATACAAATTGTATTAACTTGTTTTTAATTGCTTAAATTATGAATAAATAACATGTTATCCTATCAATCGAGATACGAGGAATTAAATTCCTCTTTTGTCAAATTATAATTTGCAATAATTATGTTGACACGGTAGTAAGGGGAGGTTGAAGAAAATATAGAAACGAATCAAAAAGTTAAGGTTTTTATTAACTTTGAAAACAATGTGGAAATATAACAAAAGTGAATGCGCGGAACGGCGGCGGATGACAATCGCGGATCAATGTTAAATTAATAACTGATTATCGGATTGTCTACAGTGGTCATCGCCGCCGTGTTTCGCTGTAAATGACCCCCCACGGACCTCTTCATACACCGACGGCCGGCTCGGGCCGATATAGTAGTTTATCGTTGCCACCTGCAGTGAGACGGTGAACAGTTGATAACACGACCGGGCGCACATTTAATCGCTAATAACGGAAACATGCACTTGCAGGCCGTGTCAAAAGAATCAATAAAGAACTAAAGTTCAAATTATATTCAATATGCACATTTGTTTGCTGTCCAAATTTTTTTGAAATTTTTTATAATTTATTCAGTTTTTAAAATCTAAATTGCGTTTTCACAATTTATATAATTATTAATTTTGTTTAACGTTTTTGTAGAGCCTACAGGCTATTAAAGGTATTTTATGACTGGTCCGATTGTGGGTTCATCACATTATTTTCTATTTAATTTATCATTTTTAATTATAAAAAAGCTTTTTTTTCTTTGAAAAATTAAAAAATTAAAAAATTATCCACCTAATGAAAGATAAATTAATTTTTACTGAGAGAGGTCACTATTGGAAAGAGTTGGGGTGAAAATTATAAACACAGTGTTACGTTTTACTATTTAATAATAACTAATAACATACTAATTAAAATCTAAAAGTATAAAATAAAACTCATTTTGGTTTTGCACTTTTTTTTACACATTTTCTATAGACCAAAATAATGTAAAAATATAAGAGGTCAAGGGGGGTTATTGTAAACAAACGGGGAAAATGTAAATCCTTTATTTTTTAATAAAGTTTTGAACAACTTTTAATGCGGATTTATAATCATGGGATGTTAGTTTACAACACAATTAAATAAAATACTTGTGGAAATAGGTACTACACAAAAAAAAACACTTTCATTTGCTGCATTCGCCTACAATGACCCTCCTTACCAAGTATGAAATTTAGAATACTTTTTCTCTTAATAGTGTTTAATAATAAATTGATACCTTTTATTGAATTCCACAGCATTAACACCATTTTGAGGTTTATGTTTCGCATTGTAATGCTTCCATAAGCAAGTTGTGGACCTCGAATATTTAAGTCTTTCGTCGCATAATAAGCACAAAGTGCTTAGATTTTCTGCATCGCGTTGAAAAACTTTCCAAACTTTACTTGGTGCCATAGCGAACGCCGAAGAGGTAAAGTTGGAAAAGAAAAAGTATTAAAATCTTAACTTGTCATTATATGGTTTGTTATGTCTGATACTAAACCGGTATTATTGTTGATTAAATAGTAATGTGTATTATACAAGGTGATCATTTTATCCTGTTTATGGTTTAAAATGAAATTTTTTTTACAGTGTTTTTATACATTGTGATCACAATTTTTCACAATTTTTTTATTTTTACACCCTTCTTAAAAGTTAGGGTGGGGGTAGATTAAAATAATACTACAAACCACTCCATTATTATCAATTTAAAATGTGAGTGCAATGTATACGGTACCATTTAAGTTTCAAAAGTTGTTATCAAAAAAATCAAGTTGGAAGGGGGTAAAAAAAAAAATGTATATTACATTCTATAAAATCACTATGAAAAAAATAATGTCTTATTAAACCCTATGAGATGTTCAGTGGCTCATGATAAAATAATTACCCTGTAGATAATGCACAATCTGTCTGTTATTATCTAAGACTATAATAAGAAAACTTGTCACTATCGCTGAGCTGCACTCTACAGTACCTACTATTTTTAGTAATAAAAGGTACGATTGCATTTGTTTGTATGTTTAACCTACATACATAACATAATAAAGTTATTATTATAATAAATCTAGTATGTCAATTTATATATTATTCTTCAATTAATTCAAAATCAATAAAAAAAACAACAAAAATGCAGCAATGCAATAAATACTAATTTTGAAATACAAATTAATTTTATCCCTTTAAAATTTTCGGTGCAATATACGTTATTTTTATCATAATGTGTACAACGGAAATAAAGATAATAACTCGTAGAGATCGGGTGTTAATTTAAATGTATACAATTTTTTAACGAGGAAGACTTTGTTAAAAGTGTATTTACCTAAAATCTTCAAGCAATAAATGTGTAGATTCTTTAATACAAACATTATTTTCACCCGGTCAGATCCAGATGGTTAAAAAAAGTAAAAATTGACAACTCAAGATAGCTTAACGAAAAATAAAATATTAGTTAATACCTAACTTGATTTAATGTTTCAAAAATAGTTTTAACTCAGCTCTACTGAATCCAAGTCAATCCAGTCAGTTACGTTTATTTTATTGGAATAGATCGGTCCAGGCTGAGTAGAATTGGACTGATAACATTTTGAAGCGCTACCTTAACACTCTTCTACATCGATCAAAGTAGAAGTTATACTCTAAATAGAAATGTATACAATTTTCAACTATTCGAATCTTTAAAAACTAGCTGTTCGAATCCGAATATTCGAATCCATATAACACTACGTGATACCCCTTATTTATTAAGAAGTTCAGTGTAGGCGATTTTTTGCAAAATATTAAATTGAAGCTTAAACAGTAATGTGTAATAATTAGTTAAAAAAATAGGACTATAATTATCATAATAACTATCCTAAGCTACCAAGTTGGTATATTTTTCGGACTATCTCAGTATCCATGACAGCGATTTTAAATATTTTTTTTATCAGATACGGTGACTGCGTCCAAGAGGGATTTTAGACCAAAAACACCTATATCAAAAGTTGACAAGATTTTTGAGACAATGGCGTATTCTATTTTTCGATAAATCTAATATTTATCATTTTAAGCGGAGTTGAGAGAAGGTATTAGTTTTATAATGATATTTGTTGTTTTGTGTCAGTTTTTTTCCTGTGGACCGATTTACTCGAGTTTGTTTTTCACGTACCTAATTTAGTGCAAATTCTTTATCAATTTACACCATTAAATATTCGATATGTTTTGCGAATATATTATCATTTACACTAATATTAGTAAATAATTTTTGATAATAAAATTCAAGTAATCATATGTAATGATAATACTAAATAGTATAAATAATTAATTACGGGTAATTAAACTCTGAGGTTGCGACGTGTGTTAATTAATATTATATGTATATTTATGAATATTTATTATAATATCTTATTAGCTTGAACATTGCGTTCAAGTACAAAGATCAAGTACGAAACAACAGTTAAACATTTATTTTACAAACATTTAATGTAGTTTATTATTTTAAATACATTACTTTTATTTTGAATAAGATAATTAATCATAATAAAAAACTGATATTATTACCATAATTATAATTTAATTATACTGATTAGATAATTATTATATTAGTTGTCTATCTATGATTTTATGTATTCAGATTTTTATAAAAATCTGAAATCTATTTTTTATAAGGTTGACTTTACGTTTTGGTGAGAACAATGTAATCTTTAAGGTTGTAAAGTTAAACAACAAAATGAAGTAACTTAATTATAAATATTATAGTAGCATAAAAAAAGTATAATTTTAAAGTTATTATACATTAAAATCGAATACAGTAAAAACCAGCGCAATACAAAAAAAAACAGTAAATCACTAAGCACAGTTTAAATGAGTATAGTAAGAATATCATAATGGGGTCCATTATTCACATTTTCGTATTGAAGCATTTTCTTTAATCTTATTTAATTACTACCACTAAACAACTAGCAAAAAATAACTGAATATTACACCTTAACTAATTCTATATTATTTAACATATGATAACAGATTGTTTTAAAATAAGGGTCACGGCTGTAATATTGTAGGCCGTATATAAATTAACATATTCAGTGGTTAGCAAATGCGCTAGACCATCTGGTTCAGAAGCATAAATACAATATGAAATCAATAAGATAACTGTCGGTAACTACCATAAGAATAGATTCCCTCGAAGTTGTAAGATAGCTAACAAAGTAAAAATCAACTACACAATAAAGGTCAGTCAGTAGTTGTAATTCACATTCAAGAA